TCACACAAACAACAGGAGCTGGGGCCAGAGGGCTCTGAGCCCAGGAAGGAGGGGCCACATTGGAGAAAGGGGTGCTATTTGGGAGGAAAGGGGCATGTTTCTGGCATCCTCTTAGCCCTAAACCAGAGGGACTGGGATCTGAGGGTTCAGATGAGGGGGTTGGTGGGGAGGTCGGGCAGAAAAGACTGTGTATTCTAATTAGGAGGAGGGACAAAGTGAGGAGTTGAGTCTGAGCCCAACTTGGAGAAATCCCCCTCCAGCTGCCCCTGTCCAGCAGTGCCTCAGGCCTGACCCTGCAGGAGTGTCCTGGGTCAACTGGAGGGTGTGAGCTGGGCTTGGGCTCCACGCCCAGATGACTGGACAGGGGCTGCCTGGGCCATAAGCCCAGGCCTGAAGGAGGGAGGAAGAACCTCACGTGTCCAGCCAGGCTCTCCCTCCTCCCTACCACCCGCCCATACTGTGTTTGGGGTGAAAACAGACTGGATTACTATGGCAACCTGGAACTGGGGCTCCCAGGAACTAGACCTCTCCTCCCTCCAGAGGGCAGCCCTGGTCCTCAGCTGTGCTTCCTGCACCAGGGTCCCTAGAGCCTTATCAAGCCCTACAGAGGCAGTAAGTTCCATGAGAACCAGGATTTTGGAAGTAGATCACCTGAGTTGGGCTCCTCCTGCTTTGCCTTTTATTAGTGGATGTCCTAAAACACTGTCCTCAGGGTCCTCATCTGAGAGATGTGATACTCCTACCTACATCTTCTGGTGGGGTGAGGATGAAAGATGATATTTTCAGTGTTCACTCCATAGTAGACACACTGTTCCCTCAGGCCTTACTTCTTTCTCTCCCCATTTACATTGCCTTTCCCCCCTCTATTCTCATTTTATCCCCGTCTGGGTCCATCACTGTTCAACTGTCCTACAGCTCCTCCTCCTTCCTGACTCCAGTTGGACAAAGTGCTTCAAGCACTGGCATCTCATGCTGGAGGCTATAGGATGGGGCATGCTGCCCCTCCACTAAGTGGCCAAGGATAGCTGGCACTCTGGTGTGAACCAGGCCTCATACCTCTTGGCTGAGGGAGTGGAGTAGCAGGGAGGATGGAGAACTGTGGAGACTGGGTATGCCTGGGGTGGGGTGAAGGCAGGCTCCTGGCTGCTGCCCTCCAAGCCCGTGTGGGTTTCCATTTCCTTTGTCCACAGCCCCTTCCAAGGCTACCTCAGCATTCCAGGCCACTGTCTCCTGCACTTCATTGCTCCCTTCCTGTCTTAGTCCCTCTTGATCAGTTTTGCTTTTTGGGGCTACCACCTCCTGCTTCCTCCCTCTGGATCCCCACCTTTTGTTCTCTGTGGTCCCTGACTCCCTGACACCATTGTCCCTCCCTTCCTCTTTTCTCTGCTTCTTTCTTGCCTGCCTTTTTTTTTTTTTTTTTGGCCCTCCACCGAAGCACAAATTATCACATCTTTTGACCCTTTATTCCTCTTTTGTTTTTTGTTTTGCATTTTGTTTTTCCCCTTCTCTCCCTCTGCTTCACTGTCTTTCTTCCTCTTATTTTTTCTTGGTCTTCTGATCTCCTGCTGCTGACCCAGTGCATGCCTCCTCCCTTTTTCATGCCACCCCCCCCATTTCCCTTTCCATTCCTTTGTCCACATTCCTTGCCCCTTTCCATTACTTCCTCTCTTCTCCCCCGCTGCAGTCTTCTCCTCCCCCCTTCTCTCTTCATTTTCCCGCTCCAGTCCTCTGTCCTCTTCCCAGCTGTGGGGGCCAGGACTGGGGAGCCTAATGTTTGCCTCATCGTTCTGCTATGGCTTCTCGATACAGCACATCTGGATTCCGGGGCCCAGATGTGTGGTTGCCACAGCGACCTCAGTCCCTCTGGTAAATACAGGCGCCCACCCGCCCCAGAGCAGAGAACAAAACAATTGTGTGACTTTCTTTTGTCACGAGATAGAAATGTCTTCCCTCCTCCCTTCTCCCCACACCCATGTCTCTGGGCAAAGGAAGTTTTAAGGGTCCAGACCCTTCTTTCCATGACTCTCTAGCCCCCTGTTCATCCTTGACCTCTTAGTTCTCTCCCATCTCAGGCTGTTTTCTATATTCCCATCCTCATCTCCCAGCCTTCAATTCCCTGTAATAAATGTTGGACATCCTACCCCATATGCAATTTAGGCAGTTTCTTCTCCCTGAATCTATACAATAACTGGATACAGAAAGAAGTTTTAAAAATCCAGCTTCTTTACGCTTTCTTCGGCAAGTTCTTCAAGAAGCTACTTTGCTTGTTTCTGTTTTCAACCCCTTCCTTTCCTGGAGCTGTTGGGGAAGGGGGAGAGAATGTAGGCTTTGGAATCAGAAAACTGGGGTGAGGCCCACTTTCACTACTAGCAAATTCTCCTGGACAAGCCACATAATGTCTATGAGCCTCCATTTCCTCATCTACAAAGTGGGATTCATAAAATGCCTGTGTAGGAAACTGCTTTGTAAACGGAAGCCCAGTACAAATGTTTCCTATCTTTCCTTCTCTGGGACTGATTCCTTGGCTCACAGCCTCCTTGGCCTCCCTTCTTCGTTTCCTTCTCTGTCCTTCAAGCCCTTGCCCTCAATTGCCCTTCCTTTTCTTTCTCTTCTCTTTTCCCTTTTCTTCTATGTATATCTTTTATTCTATAACCTCCTGAGGTCAGGACAGAAACTTGGAGGATCATTCAAGGATGGAGGCTCAGAGCTGAAGATACCAGCTGAAGACCTTGAGAACAGTCAGAGCACACGGACAGTTTTGGAAAACACCATGACCTCTCCACCTACCACCCAGGACACCTCAGTGAAGCCAACCCAACACCTGACCAGAGGGCTTCCCTGCCCTCACACCTGTGGTTCCCTGCCAAACACTTGCTCCCCATAGTCCTTTCACAATTTAATATTGACGAGCATTTATTGGTCACCTGTGCTGTGCAAGGTTCAGTGCTTTTCTGAAGAGAAGCAAAATGTTTATAAGGCCTGGACTCCTGGGAGACTGAAATGCAGGAGGTGAGTCAAGATTTAGACAGTCATTATTTTGGAACCTGGAACTACATCAAGCTTCCAGTGGCTTTCCCAAATGCCTCATAAGCTTGTCAACATCTGGAACCCCATGTTCCTGTCTCAGACCCCAGCATCCGGTCCCCAGAGGTGGGCTTCCAAAACATCCTAGGGCCATACTTCTGGTTTTTGCTTCTCTCCAGAGTCTCATGACCACTCTCTGGACTAAATAACCATACTTTCTAAATACTGAAAAGAAGACAGGGCCTGGGGGGTGGGTGAATGGATATAACCATAGAAATTGGAGGGTGTCAAGAGAAAAAATCCATACTCTACAATCTGCTCTCCCCAGGTGGTGCAATTTCAAGACCCTCCCTTGCCTTTGATTTGTCTTCCCCACTGCTTGCTGGGAGATCTGGGAGAAGGTGGTACCTACTCATGGCTCTGAGGGTTCAGGCCAAAACAGAGGAAGGAAGCTTAGTCCAGCTCTATCCAAGATGCTGACTTCATCCTTCCCATCAAAGCCAGGAAAAAAACAGCCACATACACCCAGGCACACGGACATACACGGGGACACCCATGAGAGAGCCCATGTGTGCTTCTGTTCTCAGCCACGCAGAGCTGAGTGGGCAGTGGCCACAGCCACATGCTATTGCCAGTGTACCCAGACCCAGGTACCCAGTACATCTGTGACTAGATCTCTGACCTGAGGTGCAGACACCTGTGCCCAAATCACATGTGGCATCCAACACATGCCTGTTCTAAGTTCCTTCACTATCACCTATTACTTGGCCAAGGTACATCTTTTTGGTGAGGGGTGGAGAGGAGTCTATCCTCCATAGAGCCTGGGTCGCGTTCTTCCTCAGTGTGAACAGTTCTCTGTGACGGAAGTCCCATTTTTAGCCCATTAACAGGGCAGCACTGGGAAAATGAGGCCAGAGAAACACCCAACAGACTTAATGTGGGGTGTGTTTGCTTGATCAGTCTTTCTGTCTCGTCTGAGACCAACATGCCCTTTTCCTCCAGCCCCTGTTTCTCTCCCTTCCCTGCTCCCCAGGCATTAATTCCCTTCCATTCTGCCTTCCACAACATCACCTCTCCATTTCCACAACATCACCCATATGTGCCTCCTGCTCTACCTCTTTTCTTCATCCTTTTACTTGCCCCTAACCTCAGGTTTTCCTTCCCTGTCTTCCCTCAAACCCTCCTTCATCCTACGTCACATATACCCTGATGTTCAGTCAAGCGCTTGCCTAGTTAGTCTCACACATTTTTCTAGGGACTTGCTGAGGTGGGAAAATGAGAACAGGAAAGGGACTGGTCAGAGCAGACAGAAAGGCAGCTTGGTGACAGTGTAAGCTGGGGAAGAGGGAACAGGTGGGGAAGCAGGTGGGGTGGATGTGGAACCCCATGGATGGTCTCTCATGGCAGAGGTTTTAGGGTTAAAGGGGAGGTTGCCTCCTATCTCCTGCTCCTACCTCTGCTCCCTACCCTGCATGGCCAGTGGAGAATAGTTGGGGGGATGAAGGAGCCTGTGCTAGCAACAGATAGGGTGAGATTCCAATTGGAGCAGCATCTGGGAAGAAGTGGAAAAGGAATTTGGGGAAAGAGCACGAGAGGGACTGGCCATGAGGAACAGTGTTGGCAGAGAAAAGAAACTGGGTCTGAGAAAAGGGGCCACAGGTGGGGAAAGGATGGGGAATAAAGAACTAGCAGAAAGAATAGGGAATGTCAGGTTGGGCAAAACTTAGGGTGGGGAGGAGTTTAAAATAGGATGGGGAAAGAACGTGAGAAGTTGAGACAGGATGAAGTGGGTGAGACAAGGGTATGGTGGGACTCTGTGGTCCTGGACAGGGAGGGGGCCAGGATGATGGCAGGAGGACAGGAGGGGTGGTGTCTAGGAAGGGTGGGAGGACCTGCCCTATCTCCGCTCCCCTCCCTGACCTCATGCTGGTCCTCCCCTTCTCCTCCCCCTGCTCACTGCAGGCTCCCTCCTTCTCTGTCGCTGCCCAGATCGACAGTCAGTCTGGTCCAGGCTTGGTGAGCCTCTGCTGCAGGGGACAAGTGAGGGGGACCTCCGGGGAGTCTAGGGCTGCCAAAGGGAGCCCCCCCTGGCCTGCTCTGAGACACTTCTTTCCCAGGATTGGAGACAGAGCAGGTGCAGAGGCACAGCAGCTGCCCTATTGCCCAGGTAAGGAACAGAGCCCTAGGGAGACACCGATGAGGAGTAGACAGATAGGGATTTCACTTCTATCTGTCGGAAACACCCCAGCAAAGGTGTGGCAGGAGAGCTCTCAGAGTCTCTCCTAGGACAGGGACTTTTGTTCAGGACAGAGGGAATACGGGCATCCACTGGGATCAGACTCCTTGTAGAGGATATATCTGGAGGGTGAGACAGTGTGATTGTGGGAGGTGGGGGGTGCCAGGGTTTGGATGGTTCCCATACAGGCATGTGAAAGGAATTGGGAACAAACCCAGGGACTCGGGGAATAGTACCACGGTGAAGGTGATTATCAGTGAGGTGCTGAGACTGCCGAGAAGACAAGGCTGGGCTGATCTGGTGAACAGCTGAACCTCAGGAGGAAAGTGCGGGTGAAATCCCAACTGCCGGGACTGTAGTGGCTGAGCCAGATCCGGAGGTGCCAGAGGGAGCTTTGGGCATCCAGACGGGGACTCCCCAGATGACAGCACGGAGGGAGGTTTCACAACCTGGGAGGGAGCCCTAGGGAGTCTTAAGCCTTTAGGAAATGCTGAAATGGGGCAAAGTGAGGACTCTCAGGTTGGGAAGGGCACAAAGCCTACAGAGATGATCCTGAAGCTTGTTCTTGGCCAGGAGCGCTGCACCCATGACTCACAGTTCAGCGCGGCTGCAATGGCTGAGTGATGTCCCTGGAGGGGCACAGGACTCTTGTCTTCACTCTGCCGTCCCCTTCTAGTCTCCTTCTGCTCAGTCGGAATCGTCCCACTCACCCCCTAATGCACGTGACACACCCTGGGTGGGGCGGGCAGGCCTCTTATCTTGCCTGGAAAGAATTTAATGGCTTAGAAACAACTGGAAGCGGAACTGAGGGGAACTACTGGGAAGCAACTAGGAAACACCGCAGCTGCCGCCTGCCCCACCCTTCTCCACTTCCRAGACCTCCAGCCCCCTCCCCTCTTTCCCTGGCCCTATCTCCAATCCCTTGAGATCCAGCACCTCAATTCCTCAAACTTCCTTCTGCTTAAATCCTGGCCACTAATGTAGAACCAGAACTCGCCTTCCTGTCTCTCACTGTCCTCCTGACCTTTCCCACTAGGGATCCGGAAATCCTTTTGTCTTAGTTTTTCCATTCTCCTGGCCCATCAGCTGACTCTATAGGATAAGGGGCAGCTAGGTCCCCAACTCTCCCTTACCAGTACTCTCTTCCCACCTGCTTCTTATCCAATATCTCAGGCTCCTGTGCTCCTTCCCTCCTTTCTCACTCTTAGACTCCTTCTGCCTTTACCCCTCATTGCCAAATTCAGCTGGGGGTGTGACAGGAGGGGCAGAGGGAGGAATTAGGATGGGATCAGAACCCCCCAGTCTCTGACACATCCCTCATAGAAGCCCATCCCCTCCACACCCCATGGGTTCTAGAGTCCGTGATGAGCAAATTGTCAAAGTTGGCCACAAAACCAAATACCAGGGATGCTGAGTCACAGTTTGGGAAGATGCCCCTACCCCTACCAGTCCTCCAACTGTGGGAAGAATGTCAAGAGGGTGAGGCCACATTGCCCCCAACCAGCCACACTTGGGAGAGACAGAAGGGAGACACAAGAGATACCCAAATTCTTTGCTTGCCCATTGCTAAGAGAACAGTCAAAATTTTCCAAGAATTGGAGTGGGTAGCTAGAGGGGTGGCGGTGGAAGGGAAGGGGAGGGAACTGGGAAGGAGGCTCTGGGAATGGTTTATGGGGGTTGCACCTGTCTTCTAGACCAGCTTTCCAGAGAAGGCAATGGATTCTGTATACTCCTTCCTGCTACAGAGACTCCCTTCCATGCCCATGGGGAAAGAGACTGAATCCTGTGGGGGTTGGGGGATGGGAAAGGGACTGGAGAATTCCCAGAGGCCTTCAGCAGTGTCAGAGAATTCAAGAGGGACCATGTATCCTCCGCCTCCCACTTCGGAAGAGTCCTAGGAGTGCAGTTCCCTTCTATTCAATTCAGTTCTTCATTTTCACAGCTGCCCTTTGAGACAGCAAGAAATCAACTTTCTTAGTCATCACTCAATGGCTAGGTAGAGGGGAGGTTGTGTGTCTGAGTGTGAGTATGGTGTGTACTGTGTACACGTGCCTGCACAGATTCAGGCTTTATAGGTGGATGTAAGTATTTTATGCACAAGCATGTTCATATTTGTATTTGTGGATGAACACGTGTGAATATCTTTATTTGTGTTACATATTTGTCTGTGCATGCACCATCATAGTTGGTGTGTGGATGATTTGCACAGCTTTAGACACAGAGTGACAGGTAGTTTAAGCCAGAACCMACCTGATACCCAAAGCTACACCTCTACCTGAGAAGGGCTGGGACACAGAAAAGGGTGGCTGTCTACATTCAGATTTGTCTGCCTTGGCTACCTGAGGTGAGGTGCCTCTCCTTGTGGAAACACTGTCTCTGGTGTCCAGTTCCCCTCTGTGTCTTGATGGCTGATGGGGGACTGCGGGGGCTTGTATCCCTGAAAACTCATTTTTCTCTGACTCAGAGGCAGGCAGGAAATTTGTAAATTGAGGGAGGGGGGGTCAGTCCCTTGCCTCCTCAGCTGTGACACCTTCCCTTACTAGTTCATTTTTCCGATGCCTACTCTGCCCTCCTGTCTCCAGTCCCTCTAGTCTAGAAGAGCTGACACCTGCCAACATTACTCCTCAACTTTTACCTGCACTGAAGCTTGACTCACTCCTCTGTACTCCCTCATTCTCCAGAACCCTCCCTCCCTCCWTGCCTCTCAAACCCCTATCTCCTTTATGTCCCAGCCCTTGCCACAGTGAATAACCATTACCCAGATTAAGAAATAAGATTTCCCTGAGCTCGATTACCAGCACTGTTTTTTATATATATAGTATATGTTTTTAAAAAGTATCGGGGAGTGTAGCTTGGTGGTAAAGCATTTGCCTAGTATGCACCAAACCCTAGGTTCAGTCCCAGTACCATTAATTGATTAGTTAATTCTCAACACTCTATATTCTCCCACCATGTCCCATCTGGTCATTACCCGAACCATGAGCACCATATTCATGACTCAGAACACTGTAGATTACCATCCTCTCTTCTTGAACTTCATTTAAATAGAATTATTCAGCATGTTCTCTTGTGTGTCTGGCTTCATTTGCTCAAGCTTTTAGTAAGATTCATCTATATTACTACATTTAGCTGTAGTTCCTTCTCATTGCTTATTTTATTCTACTGTAAGAATGAATCACAATTATTTAATCCATTCTGCTGATGTGAAGCATGTGGGTAGCTCCCAGTTTGAAACTATTCTGGGTAGTAGTGCTATGTTGGTTGTATTCCTAGGATTGGAATTGCAAGGTCATGGGGTTTACATATGTTCAGCTTTATTAAATCAAGTAAATTCAGCCAAACAGTTTTCTAAAGTGCTTATACCATCTGGTCCTTCCAGGATCCATCCAACTCTGGTCTCTGACTGGTCTACCCTGGCTACTGCTTTCTAACTAACTTCTATTCACAGACACTGTCCGTGGTCCTAGCCCTGACCTTGGTCCTATTCTTGACTTCAGCCTTAATGCTAGTCCTGAGCTTAAATTGAAATTTTCATTCATTCCTATAGTGAATAAATATTTATTGAGCACCTGATATGTGCTTGGTGCAAGGATACAGCTGACAAGGTTGGGGGAACAGTTACTATGACTGCCCTATAGACCTTATGGTCTAATGGGAAGATTGAGAATAGGCAAGAAAGTAATAAAATAATCCCATCATATATCTATTTGTATATGATCACAAATTGTTATAAATGCTGCAAGTGGGAATTATATGGTACTGTGATATCACATGATGGGGGACCTGACTTGTTCAGAAAGGCTTTCATGAGGAAATGATATAGGGCTGAGATTTGAAGGATCTGAAAGCCAAGAGAGAAGGGAAGAGTAATCCACATAGAGGGAACAGTGTATATGAAGATCTGGGATCAGGAAGAAGCACAAGGAATATGAGGGACCTAAAGAAGGCGAGTGGAACTGGAGTGGTAAGAAGAAGGGAGATGAGGTAAGAGAAGTCAACAGCGGCCAGGTGATGCAAGGCTGTTTATCATTGTTCTGAGATAATTTGGAGGGAAGACAAAGATGAATAGGGACAAGGAGAATAGGGACATCTGGTTGCCTTTGCAGGGTTGTGGAAGATCAGCTAGAAGTCAATGGCCATTGTTAGGCAAGAGGTGGATACTAGCTTGGACTATAATGATGGTAAGAGGGAAAGAAAGAAATGATTAAAGAGATGTTTATAAGAAAATGTGGATAAGTATGATGAAATATGGTGGCATTGAATGAGAGTTGGGTTTCTGCTAATAGAGCCGGATGAATAATAGAGCCTGTGCATTGGGAGGGAAGGGATATGGGAAAGACAATCATGAGTTCAGTTTCAGAGAAGATGCTAAGGAGGCTGTAAGATATATTGTTGTGGAGGTAAGAGATGTCTGGGCTGGCTTTACAAATTGGCATATAGTTTTGAAATTACAGTAAAAGTCTGGATGATGGTAATTAGGTGGGTGACAAGAGCAGGAGTTCTTTACTGCAGATTACCATTATTTGGGGAGCTTTTTAAAAATGCTAAATAAAACTTGGCTCCTTCCTCACTCAGCCACATCCCGAGTGTTCAATAGTCACATACTTCTTCTGGCTTCCATACTAAAAATCTCAGACATAGAATGTTTTAAAATGGGAGATGTGATCAACTGTATTTGATTTTGAGAGAGGCCAAGTAAGACGAAGACAAATGGTCCCTTGGATTTTGTGACATCAAGATCATTGGGATATTTCAGGAGTGTTGTTTGGTTGGTTAAAGGGGTTGTGTGAAGCCAGACAAGAGTGGATTGAGTCATGTGTGGGATATGGGGAAGTGGAGACAAGTGCAGATAAATATTTTGCCAACTCTGACCATGAACTAGGTGCAAAAAAAAATATGTGGTGGTGGCTGGAAGGAGTGTGATATCAGGGAAGATTTTTAAAATTTCTTTTTTTTAGGGTTTAATTTTCAGACAGTGAAATGTACAAATGTTAAATGAACAGCTCAGTTATTGTTTTCTTTTCCTTCCTTCCTTCCTATCTTTTTTTTTTGTCTGTGTGTGTGGCGGGGGGCACTGGGGATTGAACCCAGGGTCCTCTATCACTGAGTTATACCCCCATCCCTTTAATTGTTTTATTTTTTTATTTTGAAGCAGGGTCTCCCTCAGTTGTGAAGGTTGTTCTTGAACTTAAGATCCTCCTGGGCTGGGGTTGTGGCTCAGTGGTAGAGCACCCGCCTAGCATGTGTGAGGCCCTGAGTTCTATCCTCAGCACCACATAAAAATAAATAAAATAAAAATATTGTGCCCAGCTAAAAAATAAATATTTTTAAAAAATCCTCCTATCTCAGCCTTCTGAGTCTCTGGGATAACATAGATGCACTACTCACCTGGTGGCTATATGATTTAGTAGATACTATCAGTTTTCCAAAGTGCCCACACTAATCTATGCTCTGCTTACAACATGTGAGAATTTCAGTTGCTTCATATTCTTGCCCATATCAAACAGTCCTTTTAAGTTTAGCCATTCTGGTGGTTATTTAGTGGCATCTCATTGTGGTGTGAATTTGCATTTTTCCTGATGACTAATGATGTACACCTTTTCATGTTTATTGGCTCTTTGGATACATTCTTTTCTGGAGTACTTATTTAAGTCTTTTGCCAGTTAAAAAAAATTTGGCTTTCTGTTCTTTATTAGATTTGTGTGTGTGTGTGTGTGTGTGTGTGAGAGAGAGAGAGAGAGAGAGAGAGAGAGAGAGAGAGAGAGAGAGAGAGAGGKGGGGGGGCAGGGAGAGATTTTATCCCATCCTGTGGCTTGCCTTCTTATTTTTACTAGTGTCAATTGATGACCAGAAGTTATCAATTCTCAGTGAGATCCACTGTGTTTATTTCTTTTATGGTTAGGTTTTTTGTGTGTCCCATTTAAGAAATCTTAACTTACTCCAAAGTCATAAAGGGTTTCTTGTATTTTTTTTTCTATAAGGTATTGTTAGGAAAAGCATTGCTTTACCTTTCATATTTAAGTTCACAATCCATCTCACTTTAGCCTCTAAATATGGATATGAAGTGGAGATTGATTTTTTTCTGCATGGTACTTCAATCCACTCAGCACCATTCATTAAAAAGACCATCATTAAACAACCATTATTTCTTTCCTTCCTTCCTTCCTTCCTTCCTTCCTTCCTTCCTTCCTTCCTTCCTTCCTTCCTTCCGTCTTTCCTTCCTTTCCAGGGTTAGAGATCAAACCCACAGCCTCACACATTCTAGACAAGCGCTCTACCACTGAACTACACCCCCAACCCCTTTTTCCTTAATTGCAAAGGCACTTTTGTCATTAATCAGGTGACCATGTGTGCTTGGGTCTTTTCTGGCTCTTATTCTCTTCCATGTGACTATTCTTGCAACTTTATAATAAATCTTGGCACTTAATAATGTAAGTCCCAAGGAAGAGGCTTTTTTTAATGGGAGATATATGAACTTATTAAAAAAAAACTGATGGGAAAGATCTAGTTGAGAATGAAGAAGGGAAAATAATCTATACCTTAAGGATTCTGAAAGACTACAGAAGCTGGGATCCAGGTGCTTGGTGAAGGACTGGCCCTAGATACTCATCTGCTAATTTCATTCAATGTCTGTGTATTGGGTGGCACATTTACCAACACATTAATTTGTTAGGGACAGGGATACAGCAGTGCTAGGACAGTCAAGATCCCTGTTCCAAAGGGGCACCCATTATAGTAGTGGGAAAAGACAAAAGAACAAGAAAACAAGGCAGCAGAAAATGCCATGAGGAATATAAATAGGCCATTGAGATGAAGGCTACTGACCCAGCATAAGGAAGGACTCTCAGGGTCAATGACACATGAATTAAGATTTGAACTAGAAGTGGCCAGCTGGGGATGTAGCTCAGTGGTAAAAACAAAAACAAAATTAAATTGAGTGAAGAGCATCCTAGACAGAGGGAAGATAACAGTGCAAAGCCCTTAGGCTAGTGTAAACTTTGAGCACTTGTGACAAATAAAAGATCACTCTGCCTGTGAAGGGAGAACACAGTTTTTATAAAGGGGAACAAGGTAACCAAATGACATTACAAAGAGTGGTAGAGACCAGATAATGCCCAGGAAAGTATCTTTTGGGGTTGGGCTGAATGTGAATTTTCACAAATATGTGAGTTGGGTAGATTAGTTGTGAGTGGTGGGATTGCTGGTGTGTTGGGGAAGAGGCAGTGATGCATTTTGTCTCCTTCCTTTTGAAGCTGCTCTCATACTTGCCCTCTCTCCCTGCAGCCTCCTGAACGATGCCAGCCCAATGTCCTTTAACCTCCAGTCTGACCTTCCTGGTACTGCTGGGCACAGCCAGCGCAGGCCCCTTCTCTCCACGGTCGAATGTCACACTCCCAGCTCCACGGCCCCCTCCCCAACCAGGGGGAGGAAGCCCCTCTTCTCAACTTTATGAGCATACTGTGGAAGGAGGGGAAAAGCAAGTGGTGTTCACGCATCGCATTAATCTGCCCCCCTCTGCTGGCTGTGGCTGTCCCCCAGGCACTGAGCCCCCTGTCCCTGCCTCAGAGGTGCAGGCCCTGAGAATCCGGCTAGAGATCTTGGAGGAGTTGGTGAAGGGGCTCAAGGAACAGTGCACTGGGGGATGTTGTCCTGCTGCTGCCCAGGCTGGCACAGGTGAGCTGGTCATCACAAGAGGAGGCACAGAAGAGAGGGTGGAGAAGAGGGTTAGGGTTGGGTGGCATCATTAGCCCATAAAGGATCTTGGATCTTGGTATGAATTACAAAAAGGCACCCCTTCCTTGCTATTAGGAGGGGTGGATGCAGCCCAGGGCACAACTTGGGGAGTAGAGCCGGGCTAGATGTCAACCCAAGCATTTGATAAGGTCATTAAGCAACTGGAAACTAAGTTGGCCTTATGAAATGAGGCTGGCCCTGCTGGAGGAGGGCACAGGAGCACTATGTAGGCTCAGTCTCTCTCCCTGCAGAGAGACTGAGGCCTGTCTCTCTCTCTCCCACTTTAGGCCAGACAGATGTTCGTAGCCTTTGCAGCCTTCATGGTGTGTTTGACCTGAGCCGTTGTGCCTGTTCCTGTGAGCCAGGGTGGGGTGGACCCACCTGCTCTGACCCCACAGATTCTGGGATGTCCCCCTCCTCCCCTCCTGCAGAATCCGGGTCTTGTCCGGATGACTGCAACGATCAGGGTCGCTGCATCCGAGGTCGCTGCGTGTGTTTCCCTGGCTATACCGGCCCAAGTTGTGGTTGGCCTTCTTGCCCAGGGGATTGCCAAGGCCGAGGGCGCTGTGTGCAAGGTGTGTGCGTCTGCAGGGCAGGCTTCTCAGGCCCCGACTGTGGCCAGCGCTCCTGCCCTCGGAGCTGCAGCCAGAGAGGACGCTGCGAGGACGGACGCTGTGTGTGCGACCCAGGTTACACTGGTGAGGACTGTGGTGTGAAAAGCTGCCCTCGCGGTTGCAGCCAGAGAGGACGTTGTGAGAATGGGCGCTGTGTGTGCAATCCTGGCTACTCTGGTGAGGACTGTGGGGTGAAAAGCTGCCCTCGAGGCTGCAGCCAGAGAGGGCGTTGTGAGGACGGACGCTGCGTCTGTGACCCTGGCTACACTGGAGAAGACTGCGGCGTGCGGAGCTGCYCTTGGGACTGTGGTGAGGGAGGGCGCTGCGTGGACGGCCRCTGTGTGTGCTGGCCCGGGTACGCAGGCGAGGACTGTAGCACCCGAACTTGTCCTCGCAACTGCCGGGGACGTGGGCGCTGTGAGGATGGCGAATGCATCTGCGACGCAGGCTACAGCGGGGACGATTGCGGCGTGCGTAGCTGCCCTGGCGACTGCAACCAAAGGGGCCGCTGTGAGGATGGCCGCTGTGTGTGCTGGCCGGGTTATACCGGGCCTGACTGTAGCGCCCGTGCCTGCCCGCGCGACTGTAGAGGCCGTGGGCGCTGTGAGAACGGTGTGTGTGTGTGCAACACGGGTTACAGCGGTGAGGATTGCGGTGTGCGCAGCTGTCCTGGGGACTGTCGTGGTCGTGGCCGATGCGAGAGTGGTCGTTGCGTGTGTTGGCCCGGATACACGGGCCGGGACTGTGGCACGCGTGCCTGTCCTGGAGACTGTCGAGGRAGGGGGCGCTGCGTGGACGGCCGCTGTGTGTGCAACCCAGGCTTTACTGGCGAGGACTGTGGGAGCCGTCGGTGTCCTGGAGACTGCCGCGGACATGGCCGATGCGAGGATGGCGTGTGTGTGTGCGATGCGGGTTACTCAGGCGAGGACTGCAGTACACGCAATTGCCCTGGGGGCTGTCGAGGGCGCGGCCAGTGCCTAGATGGGCGCTGCGTGTGTGACGACGGCTACTCCGGCGAGGACTGCGGTGTAAGGCGGTGCCCACGAGACTGCAGCCAACACGGCGTGTGCCAGGACGGTGTATGCACCTGCTGGGAGGGTTACGCAGGCGAGGACTGCAGCATCCGCACCTGCCCCTCCAATTGCCACGGACGTGGCCGCTGTGAGGATGGACGCTGTGTGTGCGACCCAGGCTACACCGGCCCCGTCTGTGCCACCCGCACCTGCCCAGCTGACTGCCGGGGTCGTGGGCGCTGTGTTCAAGGAGTGTGCATATGCCACATGGGCTATGGCGGCGAGGATTGTGGGCAGGAAGAGCCTCCCGCCAGCGCCTGCCCAGGGGGCTGCGGGCCCAGGGAACTGTGCCGCGCAGGTCAATGTGTATGCGTTGAGGGCTTCCGAGGCCCTGACTGTGCTATCCAGATATGCCCTGGCGACTGTCATGGCCGTGGAGAGTGTCGCCAGGGTAGCTGCTTCTGCCAAGATGGCTATGCCGGGGAGGACTGTGGGGAAGGTGAGTAGGCAGTCTTCTCCGATATGTTTGGGCAAGGACTGGGATTCTAGGACCAAGAGCCATCCAGAAAACCTAAAGCCTTGGGTGCCCAAGACCTGGAGGGAGATGGTGTAGGTGTTAGAGGGGTGGGAGTCAGAGGAGCCAGAGTCCAGCAAGAAAAGCAGAACTATTGGGTGGGGGGGCAGTCAGCAGGTGAGACGGCTTCAGATCTCTGAGGAGCAGATTGGGGCTCCCTTTAGCTGCTTGTAAAGAGATTCTGTGTTTCTGGAGATGGGAAGATGAGGGAGACCCAGGCCCTGTTCCAGCCTCTACCAGCTTTTCCCCACCTACAGAGAGCAGGGGAAGGTYGGATGGCCTCTTGGTGTGGCCTTAAGAGGGGATGTGGGGGTGGCTTCCTGGGGCTAACCAGCTTTTCCTACCCTGTTCTTCTGGGCAGAGGTGCCAGCCATTGAAAACATGAGGATGCACCTCCTGGAGGAGACAACAGTTCGGACAGAATGGACCCGGGCTCCTGGCTCTGTGGATGCCTATGAAATTCAATTCATCCCCACGGTGAGAAGGGGGCCAAGCTCCAGGAGTGAGCTGACTGAGTGGCACTGGCAGTATGTGTGGCAAGGGAGGGGGTCCTCACCTCATGCAAAAAGTTCATGTAATGAGTGGTTAAGCCCAGATGGCTGGAATCCTGAAGCTGCTGTACAGGCCTTCTTATCCTGCGCCATACCAGGCCTGGTGGCCTCTGCGACATCTCCAGCAAGCATTGGTCTAGTGCAGTTGGAACACTTCTAGTGATAGTGAGCTCAGTACTTCCTGAGGCTATACAGTCCACTGTTGGCCATCAAGGCTGGTCAGTTCATTTTGTTGGTGAATCCAAATTTGCCCAAATTCTACCATCCATCCATTGGCCCAGCTGAGCATGCACCAGCTGCTGGAATATTTTTTGCTTTTTCTGTGTCCTGTACCATAGGCCTCCAGATATTTGGCAACATCAGCCATCAATTATATTTCATTCTCCCCAGGCAAAACCCTTCAGTTTCTTCACCCCTTCCCCCTAAGTTTTTGTTGTTTGAATTCATTACTATTCTTGTGCTTCCTGCATTTTGTATGTTCCCCAAAAGTGGCATCAGAGAGGAGCCCATTGGCTAACTCTGGATGCACCAGCACTTTTCTCAGAGTTGGCATATATTAACTTGTAGTCACAATACTGTCAGCATTTTGATCATAATTCTTTTAAGTGTCTTTTAATTATAAAAGTCATCTGGGCCAAGTACATAAAATGTAGAAAATACAGATAAGCAAGGAAAAAAAGAAAAAAGGGAGGAAGGCAGGAAGGAAGAAAGAAAGGAAGGAAAGAGAGAAGACAACATTCAACTATATACACTTTTTAGTCTAAATATAGGTCTTTGCCTTTGACTCTGTTCAATGTTATCTTTCTTGGTTTAGGCCAAGCTGTCTAGGCTGTTGCAATAATTTGAGTCTGTGGACTTGTTCTCTCACCTTCATGACGCCAGCACATTGCAAAGCATTCTTTCTCTGCCTGCCTCCAACTTGCCGTTAAAACATTTGGGGAGCACAATAGGGGCAAAGCCTATGGCCTATTATTAGGGCCTTCCCTTTCTGTGAATTGAGCTTTTAGGATATGGCTGTTTCCCAGCTCTAAATCATCTGACATTTCTAGCATCCAACTCATGTTTTCCTGCATCATCCCCAAATGCCACAAGGGATGTGCCATGTCACCCTCATCTCCATCAGCTTAACCAGGACTCTGGAAAAATAAATAACTCTCTGGGCCTAAAGCCTGGTCAGGCACTAGGATAGAAGGGATAGCTCAGAGATATTAGCTGTCATCCTTGCCCCCCTTTGCCTGGTCTCATTATGTCCCCCAGGCTAGACCGCCCCACCATGTCCTATCTCTTCTCACTCTCAGGCCAAAGAAGAGGCAGAAATCCCTAGTTTGTGATACAACCAAGGTATCTTGGGTTTTTTCTTCTGTTTAAAAGAAAAATTTGTGATAAAAATAATTTAATCACGAGACAAGAACTTGGCAGCTAAAGAAAAACAAATAATTCTTGGCTGCTCCACACTAAAACAAGCACTGCTAACATTTTAAAGTGTTTCTCCCACTCTCTTCTTCTATGTGTACATTATTTACATAGCTCTAATCCAAAAAGGGTGGGACTTTTAAAAGGAATTTTCCTAAGAAACTTCAGAGAAAGAAGAATTAAAATAAACACTGGAGATAAGAGAAGCTTTCAGAGACCGTTGTCTCCTGCTCTGAATAAATACAGATTTATCCTTGGGTGTTGTCAGGGGGTGCAGCTTGCCAGCCAAAGCCCTAGGCTTTGCCCTTTACTCTAAGACAGGGTGGTGCTGGGTCGGCCTGCTCCAGGCGTGGTCCTGGTCTCAGTTCATCTACTCTGCTCTGGATATGGAACTCTGTCATATTGTGGATCCCTTGTGGGCCTGGGTGTGAAAGAAGCTCCTGYTAATTGGTCCCTAAACACCCCTCTTGGATTCCACACCAGCCTGTGCTCCCAGTCCTTTCTTTGTGTAGCTGACCTCTACACTTGAGTCTTCTGTTTTGGCCACTGCTCTCTGTCCATTTCTGTTGGCATGGGACAGTATTCAGTAGCTCACTGTCCTCTGACCTCTGCCATTTTCCTTGAAGCCTGTCTCTACTTCATCCCCTCCCTCTTTCTGGAAGTACTTCTCTCTCAAAATCCAAACTCTGCTATTCTTGGCCACAGGGCACACCTAGTTATTGGAATTATTTTCAGAACACAGAAGAAGAATGTCCCTCTTCTCCTTGCATATGTGGCATTGTTATTGTGACTCAGTGGGCCTCAAAGTGTATTCAGTGCTCCCTGGTCCTCAACATCAACATTACCTTGGGAACTTGTTAGAAACATATGGTATATCAGACTCTACCCCAGCTCTCTGCTCCAGAAAGTCTGCAAATGGATCTCAGTAACCTATGTTGTAACAGGCCCCCCAGGTGATTCTGATGGCCTCAAATCTGAGGATCATTACTTAAGAAATGCTGCTGTTTTCCAAAATGTTGGCTGTTATGAGAGTGTGAGAGAAAGCACGGCATCCTAAGGGAGGTGATCCCTGCCTCAGAAAGAGGTTCAGGTATTCCTGGTCTGGGTGTATTCTGCAGCCTGGAAACAGACTAGGCCAAGTGTTGGCTTGAAACAAGAGTGCACACACAGAAGAGTTTTTGCATGGGTCTTGTCTGAAAAGGGAGAGTGAGGGACCAGTCAAGATAGAGTCCTCCCTTTGAGGGAGGTTGACATTGAGAATAAAGTTAAAAATTCACCAAGAACAATTGCTGAGGGAACCAAGCTTTACCAAGGGGCAGAGTTAGCTGCCAGAATCTGCCTCCAGCCAGCAAGATGGTGCTGGGACACATGGGTTAGGCTGACCGTGGAACTTTCAGGGGACTGTTCCCAAATCTATCTCAGGAGGAACCAAATGGTGTCTACAGAATATAGACAGGCTATTCCACAGARTGAAGAAAAACCCTGGGGATAGGCTTGCCTTAATGAAAGAACCAGGCTTAATCAGGGAGCACCCAAGTGTGGGGTCGGGGGAAGGAGAGGAGAGAAAGAAAAAACAAAAGAGACAGAGACAAGAGAAAGTAGGGGTGAGAGTAATGGGCAAGTGGGTTCTGGGAAGGGTGAGACGTTACAGGTATTGAGTGAGGGCCAATCCAAGGTTTCCTAGCCTGGGATATCCGAGAGCAGCCTGAGTAGGACAGGAACAGGGATCGTGTGTGTCCAGGAAAGCTTTTCAACCCAGAAAACTCTGACAAAGCTTTATTTCATCCTCCACAAGAAATCTCTACGTGGCCTTCTCATCTGGTTTTATACTTTGGTATTTACTATGTTGATTTCCCCACAAGTCTCTTGGTTTAGGAGAGTACCTTTAGAAATTTCCAATCCTACTTGGCTGAATGGAGGCATCCCCATCACGGCCAACATAGCTAAGCAGAACACAGTGTCCTCAGCAGCTATCCTAGCTGGATAACCCAGTGAAATGCAGGGATGTTAGAATGCTCACAAATGTCCAGCTCTTCCAGCCTCCCCAGAGACTGGCACTCTGAAGACTCTGTCTAAAGCAGCAGCCCAAATTTCCTGTGAGGCCACCATATACAATCACACTACCTTAAATATACACTTAGAGAAGGGTTGTTTTCTCAAACTCATTTACTATACAAAGAGATTTATGTGGAGATCTATATTTAGCTACTAGAATGAGCTACCCAAGGACAGGAACTGTATTTTTGTGTCTCCATTACTGAGCATGATTTCAGGTTCAAAATCAGCAATGAAGAAACATTTGTGAGCCGGCTATGGTATCCATGCCTGTAATCCCAGCAGCTCAGGAGGCTGAGGCAGAAGGATCACAAATTCAAAGCCAGCCCCAGCAACTTAGTGAGGCCCTAAATCAATTTAGTGACACTCTGTCTCAAAAGTAAAAAATGGGCTGGGGATGTGGTTCAGTGATTATATGTTCCTGCTATCAAAAAAGAAAGAAAGAAAAACATTTCTAGAACTTTGAGCCCATAGGCCTTGTTGTAAAGGGGTCTAGAAGCATGCTGAAGAGAAAAGTCCTAAAAAGAAATATCATGATACAGGCCACAACCAAATTACACAGCCAGGGCAGGCATCTGCTGGAGATTCAGGCTGAGTAGATACTTGAAGGAGGAAGTGAGATTCAAAGGGGATCCTTAGTCTACTTCATTTGTTCTGAAAGGAACAAGTTTAGGAGAAGCCTCCTCCTACTCAGGTAGTTGGGGTTGCCAGGGGAAAGCCAGCAGGATTGTCAGGTGGGATTCTGGTAGATGAACAAAACAAAGAATGCCCAGGAAGAGCAAACCTGGGTTCAAACTGCCTGGGCTCAAGTCCTTGCCACTATSTTGATTTGAGTGATAAGATACTTATCATTCTCAGTTTCCTCATCTGTAAAATGGGACCAATAGGACCTATCTCACAGAGCTGTTGCAAGAATTAAGTGAGTTTGCCTAGCATGGTGGCTTATGCCTATAATCCCAGCAATTTGGGAGCCCAAGGCAGGAGGATTGCAAGTTTGAGCTCAGCCTCAGCAACTTAGTAAGACCCTGAACAACTTAGTGAGACTCTGTTTCAAAAATGAAAATTATTAAAAAGGGCTAGAAATGTAGTTCAGTGGTAAAATGCCTCTGGGTTCAGTACCAAAACAACAACAACAAAAAAGAATTAAGTGAGTTCATATTTGTAAATTGCCTAGAATAGCAGCTAGCAGGAAATAAGGCTCTGGACATGTTTGCTGTTACTTGCCTGCTCCCAGCTTGTACAGGGCCAAGTTCCACACAGTCCCATGCCGGCACTGTTCAGAATTGGAAAAAGAAGAGATATAGGGGAATTGGGCAAGAGTACCAGCCTCTGATCCACCTGGTACTCTCTCTCACAGACAGAGGGGGCGAGCCCCCCATTCACAGCGCGGGTGCCCAGTTCTGCCTCAGCCTATGACCAGAGAGGACTGGCCCCTGGTCAGGAGTACCAGGTCACTGTCCGTGCCCTTCGAGGGACCAGCTGGGGTCCTCCTGCTTCTAAGACCATCACCACCAGTGAGAGCTGGAACTGTGGGGGCAGGGTCCTGGGTGGAAGTCTGGGTTTGAGAGGGACAGCTGTAKGCCTGTCCTGTGGGAGGCAGAGGGATGGGGCGGGATGGGGGCTCGGGTCTTGGAAGGAAAGCTGATGACTGAAGAATCAGAATCCCACATGAGCCCTCCTCTCTCCAACTCAACTAGTGATCGATGGTCCCCAGGACCTCCGAGTAGTGGCTGTGACACCGACCACCCTGGAGCTCAGCTGGCTACGACCCCAGGCTGAGGTGGACCGATTTGTGGTCTCCTATGTCAGTGCTGGAAACCAGAGGGTACGGCTGGAAGTTCCACCCGAAGCGGATGGGACACTGCTTACCGACCTGATGCCAGGCGTGGAATATGTGGTGACTGTCACTGCAGAACGGGGTCGGGCAGTCAGCTACCCAGCTTCTGTCAGGGCCAACACAGGTATGGCCAGCCAGGGGTTAGGGAAGGGCCCTAATTTCCAAAACAGGGAGCCCAGGTCTAAGGTTCACAGTCTCCTCTGAATGCATTTGGCAGGGTGTGTGGCAATCCCCAAACACCTGTTGCTCTGTTCTGAAGTCACTGAGGACACAGTTGCTTAGAGTCCTATAGCAAGGCTGCAGGTTAGACTATGGAAGGAACTACCCCATGGAAAGGAGATGCTCTCTGATCCACCCAGATAAGGAAGGTTCTTATCCTAACTTAGGCACTGAAGCAGTGGTGCTGAAAGTCAGATCTTGTAGGAACTGRATTCAGGCAGATTATAAATCAGCAGTCCTGTTGACTTCAGGATTTTGGTCTCCAGGAGTTGGGTCTCTGGGCCSTAATTTTCCACTAACCCTCAAAGTTTCTTAACAGATGCCTGGATCTTTCTTTTCTTTTCCTGTGACAGGGGGACACTCACTTCGCTGTAGCTCACATTCTCTTCTTACTCCCCTTTCTCTCCTTCAGATACAGGGCCCCGCCTGCTGGCTTCTCTTTTCTTTCTAGGGCACCAACAGTGGTGGGCTTGGAGGGTGAGGGGAACTGACTCATTGCTCTGGTTCTGTTTCCAGGTGGGGCTGGRACTCAGGGGAGAGGCCTCTGGTTCTGATGGGGACGGGAGGGGGAGGAGCCGCGGTGGAGTGGAGTGCAGGGTGCGGGGAGCTGCCACTGACCAGCTCTCCCCTACCCCTTTTTCGTCCCCGGCAGCACCAGGCCACTACAGTTACCCGGAGGTGCACCCCCCAGCCCCGCCCCCCAAGCCCCGTCCCCGTCCTGCCCCTGCCTCGCGGCCTCTGCGGCCAGCTCCGCCCTCGGGGCCAGCAGAGGAGGGCGAGGAGGAGTCCCGCCCGGGGCCCAACCTGCCTCAGCCCTCGCGGCGGGCGTGGGGCAACCTGACCACCGAACTGGGCCGCTTCCGCGGCACGGTGCAGGACCTGGAGCGCCACCTGCGGGCTCACGGCTACCCACTTCGCGCCAACCAGACCTACACGTCCGTGGCGCGCCACATCCATGAATACCTGCAGCGGCGTCGGGCGGCCGCCGCCCCMGCCGGCTCCCCGGCCCCCCAGCCCCGTCGCCCCCACCCTACCGCCAGCCCCGCTGCGGGCACCTGGAAGCGGGACTCCAACCAGGGCATCTACGGCCTCTCCCCTGAAGGCGTCGACCGGTTGGCCGCGCCTCGCCACCCCAAGCCTGAGGTGCTGGGCAGTTCAGCTGACGGCGCGCTCCTGGTGTCACTTGATGGGCTCCGCGGCCAGTTCGAGCGCGTGGTGCTGCGCTGGCGGCCCCAGCTGCCTGCAGAGGGCCCCAGCGGGGAGCTGACTGTGCCGGGCACCACGCGCACAGTCAGCCTACCCGACCTCAGGCCTGGCACCACCTACCACGTGGAGGTCCACGGGGTGCGGGCAGGGCAGACCTCCAAGTCCTACGCCTTCATCACAACCACAGGTAGCGTGGGCTGGGGCGGCGGGACCATCCATCTCCTGTCCCCAGCGCCACCTGCCTTGGAGCCTGCAGCCTCACTTCTATGACCGCCAACCCCCACCACCACACCCTTCTACTTTCTGGCCCTCCCTGGCCCAGGCACCAGGGGACCCCCCCCCTCACCCCTACAAAGCACACCCTCCAGTGTCCCTGGAAATCACCCTCACCCCAGAGCTCTGATATCATCCTATGGCCTTTRGGGTTCCCTTGTTTGCATCTGGGTTCCCACCTAGACCAGGATTGCTGTCCTAGGTAATGAAAGGGCTATCTGGGATAATGGCTTGTACAGCCTATCCTGCTCTGAGTGGTGTGGGTTGAAACCAGTGATTCTCTGATTTACTGTGGTGAGGGTGATGAAAGACTGTGGCCTGTGGTTATTTCCCACAACTTGGCCTTGACTATGAAGGGACATTTGAGAACTGCTTGAGGGTGTCCATGAAGCCATCAGGCAGCATGTGTATATAGGGGTGAAACCACTGCTTATTAAGCTGTGTTTTCAGTCTTCCTGGCTCACTACATGCTTGTCTCTCCCACAGGAACCATGTCTGGGCTGGGGGAAAGGGTGCTCTATGGCTGCAGTGGGTGTGTGTGGAGGGGTAGGGGTGGTACTCTTCTTCCCCCATAGGGCTCAGATGCCACTTGACCTGGACRTCTACCCCCATGCTCTCTTTCCTCTCTTCTACTGCCCATTCTCTTCTTGCATCCTCCCTCCCTAACACCACGGTACCCTACTTTCTTCCAGGCTTCTCACTGCAGCACTAATGGAAGCCGGACCTCCACTCAGTGGGGAGAGGGAAGTGGGTGGGGAGGGACATAGAGGGCATGGAAGCCTTATGAGGAGTGGGATGGCAGGCTTTATCTATTTACTACCTGCCCTAAGCACAAGCCTGTCTGCTCAGGAAAATGGTAGATGGGGGTGCTTGAAAGACAGAAAAAAAAAACTTTGGGAGGATGTGGGGGGGGGACCAGGAATATAAAAGGGGAGGTTCCCCAGGAATATAAAAGGCTGAGAATTCCTTTCTGGTTCTCATGTTCCACTCTCCTGTTTTTCTTGCCCTGCTCTGCCCCTTCCCAGGGTCCTCACCCTCGGGCCTCTTGGGGGCTACTGATGAGCCTCCTCCCTCAGGCCCCTCGACGACCCAAGGGGCTGAGGCCCCTCTCCTGCAGCAGCGCCCCCAGGAGCTGGGAGAGTTGAGGGTGCTGGGCAGAGACAAGACAGGGCGCCTCCGTGTGACCTGGACTGCCCAGCCCGACACCTTTGCCCACTTCCAGCTGCGCCTGCAGGTGCCCGAGGGCCCGGGGGCACATGAAGAACTGCTGCCAGGGGACGTCCGCCAGGCTCTGATGCCCCCGCCCCCTCCTGGAGCCCCCTACAAGCTGTTACTTCATGGGATCCCCCCTGGGGGCAAGCCCTCTGTTCCCATCACCTACCAAGGCGTTATGGGTACTTCCTGAACTCTGCTCAGATCAATGTCCTGAGATTGGGGGAGAAACGGGGGCAGTCAGAACTTCAGAAATGAGATGGGGATTCTGGAGCCCGTGAAGGAAAGAGCTGATGTTGGGGGCTGGGTTGTAGGAGAAAAAAGGATTCTGGTGGGTTCAGAGGGAAGACAGTTGGAGGGGATCTTAGAACAATGATGAGGGTGGTGGAGTGGGAGGAAAAAAGTTAGAGGGTGAGACAGGAATCCAAGGAGAAAGGCTGTAGGCTCCTGGCCACCACCTGCAACTTTCTTTGACCTGTGTCTGCCCCCTACTTTCTGGTTGTTCCTTGCCCTACCCTTCCCTATAGATCTCTCAAAGTGGACTTGAAGAGACCTCTGGCCCTTAGGATACTGACCCTCAGCCCATGATACCTCCTCCCTGGGAGTCTGGCTTGCTGTGGACAGAACCCTATGGTTCCATCAGCTAGATTCTGCTGGGGTTGGAGGCTCCTTGAGGGCTAGAACTCCTCAGCCATCAGGACTTCAGGACCAGTGAAAGACAGGGCTGGGGTACCTGGCTCACATCCCTTTTGGTCCTCACTATGGGACAAGGGTGGCTGACTTTTACCTCAATTCTAAGTCAAGCTGACCACTGGGAGAGGGATGGCAGGGGAGAGAGCAGCTCAGATGGGCCAGGGAGACTTCACACTCTTCTGGAGCAACAGTGGGGTGGTTAAAAACTCGGGCAGAACCAAAGGAGAACTGAAACTCCCACCAAAATCCTGGTGTGCAGAGGAGCTAAGCTTTGTGAGAGCTGGGGAAGTTGTCACAAGGGAGGGAATAGAAATTGAGGGGGGAAATATTCCTCTTCCCAAGAGGGTTGGTCATAGAGGGCTGAGGGATAGGTAGATGGAGGTTTCCAAGGGACGCAGTGCTAGGATGGAGTAAAGTAGGCAGAGAAGAGGGAGGGAGAAGGGGGATAAGAAAATGGTTTGAGTCCACCATGCTTTGCTTTTGTCCCCACCATAACCCCAGACAGGGATGGAGAGAAGCCTAGGAAGTCCTTGGGTCCACCACGCCTGGGTGAGCTGACAGTGACCGACGTGACCTCTGACTCCCTGCTCCTGCGTTGGACAGTCCCTGAGGGGGAATTTGACTCCTTTGTGATCCAGTACAAAGACAGAGATGGGCCCCAGGTGATGCCAGTGGAGGGGCCTCAGCGCTCAGCCCCCATCACATCCCTGGAACCTGGCCGAAAGTACAAATTTGTCCTGTATGGGCTCGTGAACAAGAAAAGGCATGGTCCCTTAGTGGCCGAAGCCAAGATCTGTGAGTGAGAAGAAACACCCCATACCTGCCCACTGTACCATCATAAAAGAGGCCTTCTTCATGCTCTGGGAAGCTGCCTTGGGGCTCAGGAAGGCTTGCTACAGGCAGCAAGGCCTGAACTGCATCCCAAAGGGAAAGCAGTATGGGGCAGCAGGAGGGAGTGGTCCCTAGGAGAATCAATGTCACTGTTTCCTCTGGCTGGAGAGCAAGGCATGTGGGGAGTTCAAGGCCCTGGTCTACAGCTCTTTTGCTGTGCGAAGGGTGTGGACCTCATTTGAGGACCCCAGGGAACCTCTGGGCCATTTAAAGTGATTAGGTGTTTATCTCACAAATAGTACTGTGACTGCTGTAGAGGCTGACTGGAGAGTGAGTCAGCTGGTGAGGCATGGGGGCCTGGCTGGGATGATGGCAGTGGGGTGGATGTCGAAAGTGAAGGAAAGCAAAGAGGCCCAGGCAAACCCTGGGTTCCCAGATCAGTTCTGTTCCCTGAGGCAGGGAGCAGCAGCTGGGGAACAATGTAGCGTGGGACGCTTCCATAAACACCTTTTGAACATTTATTGAGTCAGACGCCTTCAAGATGTTCTAAGTGAATGATCATACTTACTGCTTAGAGGAACCTAGCAAGGCATGCCCACTTCATGGATGAGGAGAATCATGCACAGGGAGGGGAGGTCACCCAAGTAGAAAATGACCAGGGCCTCCAATTGCTGCCCTGGTGGGCCTAGAGAGGAGAGAGAAGGCCTACTGAGGGGCCTGGGCATCAGTGTCTGAAGGCAGGAGCCAGAGAGAGGAGAGGTGAACCAATGGAACTCTGGGGACAAAAACATTCCAAGCAGGAGCAGAGGAAGAGGATCCCATGGAGTAGCCTGAGGGGTGACTGTCAGGGATGGGCAGAACCAGGGAGGAGAGTGGTGTCCTGGATGCCAGGAAAGAGGGTGTGGTCAGTAGGTCCAGATTCTGGAAGAGTGATTCAGGGGCTACTGAATGGCAATTAGCAATGGTAAGGTCACACTGGCACCATGGAGCTGCCTGACAGAGGAGTGGAGCTGGGTTGGGACATGGTTGCAGTTAGTGTGGCTTTTGGAAATCTAGGCTGGGAATAGAAAGCAAAGAGGGAAGGTAGAGGTTAGAGAAAAATGCAGGCAGAATGTGGGGGTGAGGGACAAGAGCATGTTTAAATATTGAAGGCCACATTGGTAGGGAGTCAGGGGCTGGTGATACAGAGTGGGGATGGCAGGTGAGTTGAAGCCCCAAGGAGGAGGGTCCAGAGCACATAGTGCCACCTTCTGATACCGACAATTTCCCAAGGATCTATCCTTTTCTCTTCAAGGAGAAACCAGCTATGAGTTAGGCTTGGAAGCAGTGAAGGTTGCACTGGGGAAGTTTTCCTGGCTGTGGAGATAAGGGAAGGCCTGGCTGGGTGCCCCACTTTCTGAACCCCTTGGTTGTGACAAAGTCAGCACTGCATCCACAGGGATTTTGTGCCATTTAGATGATGGCACCCTTTTTTAAGTGAACAAACCTGCTCTGCAGGGTACTTAGCTCGGCAAGCAGAGTGATAGTTGGATTTCAGTGCCCTTGTACTCCCTAGGTCATGCACCTTTGTGCATTGAATAGCCTGCCCAATATCACACAACATTCCTATGTGGGAGATGGGTTCCCCCTTCTGCTGTGACCCACCTTCTCTCAACCTTCTCTTCCTAGTGCCTCAGAGTGATCCCAGTCCAGAAACCCCACCCCGTCTGGGAAAGCTATGGGTAACAGACCCTACTCCAGACTCACTGCACCTCTCCTGGACTGTCCCTGAGGGTCAGTTTGACTCCTTCATAGTCCAGTATAAGGACAAGGATGGACGGCCCCAGGTGGTACCTGTGGAAGGACCTGAGCGATCAGTCATCATCTCCCCCTTGGACTCTGATCACAAGTACAGATTCACTCTCTTTGGGATTGCCGATAAGAAGCGGTATGGCCCCCTTATGGCTGATGGCACTACTGGTGAGTATCGCCACCAAAGCCCCCCACATGACCCCTCTCTCTCTCTGCACACTTACCGTCAGCTAGGAGCCAGCTGGGGCCTCCCAGAAAGGTGGCTGACTCCACCATCCTGGCCCTGCTCCCAGGCTGAGGGGAAGCCAGCCTCTCCCACACTGCTGGGCTTCATCCATTCCATTCAGCTACTCCCCAAGGCCCAGAAGGTGTGTCATACTCTGGCTGTACTAGACTTCCCAGGAGTTCAGCTCTAATACTAATCGAGTAGTGACACCTCCCCCCTCAGGTACTATGTTTAAACCCCAAACCCCAATCCAAGGCTTCCAACTCAGCATCTGGTTGAATCCTCTTGTTTACAGCCCCAGAGAGGCAAGAAGAGCCCCCTCGCCCTGAGTCCCTTGAGCAGCCCCTTCTGGGGGAATTAACAGTGACTGGCGTGACCCCAGACTCCCTGCGCCTGTCTTGGACTGTGGCCCAGGGCCCCTTTGACTCCTTCGTGGTCCAGTACAAGGATGTGCAGGGGCAGCCTCAGGCAGTACCTGTCAGGGGAGATGAAAATGAAGTCACAGTCCCTGGCCTGGAGTCCAACCGGAAGTATAAGATGAACCTCTACGGGCTTCATGGCAGGCATCGTGTGGGGCCCGTGTCTGTAGTGGCCAAGACGGGTGAGTCAGCTGCACAGGCCTCCCTCCCTGCTTACCCCCGAACTCTGAGTGGGACCTGGCCAGCTCCACCTTCTTTTTCTCAGCTCCTCTTTTGACAAAGCCTCTACTGTCTTCCTTCCCCTCTGCTCTTCTGTCCTCCACATTCCAGAACTCCTCTTCCAGCCTCTAGCTCCTAATCTCTTTCTTAGCCTTGTTTCTCCATCTCAGAGCAGGCCCCAGTTTAACTCATTCCAAGTATCTGGACTCATCCCTCCACCCCAGGCTGCCTTTACCTGCAACCACTGTATTCTCACCTCTCTTTTTTTTACTGTGGGATCCTTCTGGGCCTCAGCTAGAACCTAGTCACTTCTGCACTTGTGTCACTATTCAGTGCATTGCTGTTCTGTACAGAGGTGGCAGATCCAGGAGATAAGGAAATCATGTTTCCCTGGCCTCCTCGTGCATGGAGAGGACTCTTCCCAGCCCACCTCCCTGATTCCCAACCATCTTGCAGGGGAGCAAAGGACTCACTTTCAGCCCTGCATCCCAGCCTGTTCCTCCGCATCCCCAGCTCCTCTCTGTTGGATGCCATGATCACAGCCCAAGATGCCACTGCCAACAAGTGGTGTGGCAAAGTGGTTTGGAGCATGGACTCTGAAACCAACTGGTTCTGAATACCAGCTTTGCAACTTCCTGCCAGGGGACTGTGTGCAAGTTACTTAACCTCTCTGAGCCCCAGCTTTCCTTTCTGTAAAATGGAGGTAACATGGTGACCACTACACAGAGTTGTTAGAAAATACAGTGAACATGCATTCAGTACCTGGAGTGGTGTCTAACCCATGGAGACTGGGGCTGTTCCTCATTGCTCTTGCTCTTTCTAGTAACCTCTTTTTTCTCCTCTCCTCCCTGCCTTCCCATCCTTGCCTGGGTTCTAATTCTTGCCTGCTTCCTGCTCAGTCTCTTACATAGCACCTCTGAACCAAGAAGGGGTCACAGAAGGGCTGGTTTCCCTTGTGCCACAGTCTCCCTAGTCCATTGAGCCCTGCAGAGACTTACTTGGAGGGGACTGTGGGTGGGGATGTGATTTCAGAGCCAACCAAGGAAGAGCAGGTCCCTCCCCAGCCCCTGCCCATCTGAATCTTTCCCCTACTCTTGGCCGGAGCCCTACCTTAGCAGTTCAATCTAAGGGCTCAAGGGGAGAGAAAGGAGGAGGCCTGGAGAGGAAGCCTTACCAAGAACTCATTCCATGGTCTCATTTTGGTAAGAGGGATGGGGCTGCCAAAGCACCCTGTGAGTGGACAAGGTGGTAAAAATCCTCCCCATCCCTCTGTTTTCTGAGGTCAGTACTGTCAGGGATAGGATCTGGAAGGATCCTCAAAGGGGTCCTGTCTTTTCGAATCAGCTTCTTTCTGAACCACCAGCACACTCCCACCAGCAGACAGGCTGATCCTTCTCCATCCATGAGTACCTGGGTGGCTAATGCCAAAGGCTACACAAGCCCCTATGCACCTTGGCTGGAGAAGCATATCTGTAGGCTGGATGTACTGCATTGTTCCCATTGATGGCAAACCAAGTCACCCTTAATGCCTGTGTGCCCTTATCTCTTTTCTCAGCCCCACGGGAGGTTGTAGATGAGATCCCCAGTCCTACAAAACCCAGTATGGAAGTCCTGGAAACACCTGAGCAGCCACGCCTTGGGGAGCTGACTGTGACAGACTCCACCCCTGACTCCCTGAGCCTCTCCTGGACAGTGCCTGAAGGACAGTTTGACCACTTTCTGGTCCAGTACAAGAATGGGGATGGACAGTCCAAGGTAGTGCGGGTGCCAGGGTATGAAGACGAGGTCACCATCTCAGGGCTGGAGCCAGATCACAAGTACAAGATGCACCTGTATGGCTTCCACAGTGGCCAACGTGTGGGCCCCATGTCTGCCACTGGGGTGACAAGTGAGTGATCTGGTGGGAAGTTGACCCTCTAACTCTTTGGTGATAATTGACCAGGACATGGTGGCAGGGGCTTAGTTGAGTAACCACACAGGTCTGCTTGTAGCTGAAACTGTGGTCCCCTGTGTGCTTCCCCTGGGGTTGACCTCTGTCTCCTCCTGGGAAAGGAGGCACCAAAGGGACCTGTGCTATGCTGGGGGCTTCCCCAGTTCCCTACAGCTGACCAGGAGCTTGGGCATGCTTGTCAGTTTTCAGCAGAGCAAGGCCTTGGAGCCCCAAGGATGACCTCAGGTCTGCCCGTGGGGACCATAGCTTCTCACTCCTTCCTCAAGACCTGGGCACATCTCTTAGAGAGCCTGCCTCACCCCCCCCCTCTCCTTCTCAGCTGCAGTGGAAGAAACCCCCAGCTCTATAGAGGTGGAGACCCCCAGCCCCACAGAACCCAGCACGGAGGCCCCAGAGCCCACCGAGGAGCCACTGCTGGGGGAGCTGATGGTGACAGGAACCTCCCCTGACTCCCTGAGCCTCTCCTGGACTGTGCCCCAGGGCCAGTTTGACTCCTTCGCCATCCAGTATAAAGACAGGGATGGGCAGCCCCAGGTGGTGCGTGTTGGAGGAGAGGAGAGAGAGGCCACTGTGGGGGACCTGGAGCCTGGACGCAAGTACAAGATGCACCTGTATGGGCTCCACCAGGGCCACCGTGTGGGCCCCATGTCTACTCTGGGCGTGACTGGTAAGTGAGGAAGGGTCTGACTCAGTTCCCTCTCACAGCTGATCCTGACTTTCTGTAGCCAGTTGCTCTCATTCCAGTGAGGCCACGAGTTTCTGCCTCTTGGGAAGACCTAGTAAGAGCAGGTCATGGTGGGAATTGGGGCTACATCTATTGGGGCTACAACCAGTTTTTGTGACTGTCTACCAGTTTTGTTTCCTTTGTTTCTTTGTCTTAAAAAGCAGATAATACCTACTTCATGGAAATATTGTGAGGATTAAATGAGTTAACAAATACCAAGTATTAAGAATGGAGCTGCGGGGCTGGGGTTGTGGCTCAGCAGTAGAGCGCTCACCTAGCACGTGCGAGGCCCTGGGTTCAATCCTCAGCACCACATAAAAATAAATAAACAAAATAAAGGTATTTTTAAAAAAAATGGGACTGGGTGTGGTGGTGCATGCCTGTGATCCCAGAGGCTCAGGAGGCTGAGGCAGGAGGATTACAAAGTCTAAAGCCAGCTTCAGCAACTTAACGAGGCCCTAAGCAATTTATTGAGACCCTGTCTCAAATTGAAAATAAGAAGGGCTGGGGATATGGCTCAGTGGTTAAACACTTCCGGGTTCAATCTTCAGTGCCAAAAATAAAGAATGGGCCTGGCAGACCGATTAAACATGGTGTTGGGTTTCTTGCTATGGTCATAATTATCCCTACTCTGGGATCTGCTTGGTTCCCCTGGCTGGGTCAGCTACTTAATTGGTAATAATATGTGTCAGACAGTGGGCTATTCATCAGCGCCTCTCAAAATTTTTCTTTTTTTGAAATATGTTTTTAGTTATCGATGGACCTTTAATTAATTAATTTATATGTGGTGCTGAGAATCAAACCCAGTGCCTCACATAAGCAAAGTGAGTGCTCTACCACTGACCCACGACCCCAGCCCTCGAAACTTTCTTTAATGATCATCCAGCAAGTGACTTTACAGCAAAAAAGAATATTTCTCCCACCCTTTGTCTCAGGCCAATTATGGGGCCACATTGGCCAGCATAAGGACCTATCCTGGGCACTTTGTCTGCAGAGCCTCATCCAACAAGGCTGAGGATGCCTCTGGGACCCTTCTGCTGACCTGCCCAGCTTGGTCACAGTGAAGGATGTCTCTTTTTCCCTTTGATTACTGAAACATAGGCACAAATGTTTTAAAAACAGCTTTTGCTATAAGAGAAAATATTAAAAACTTAAAAGACAGAGAAACAAATAGGTTTCTAGAACATGGTTTCTGTACTTGCACAAGGCTCAACTTCATAATTACTTGGATTATTTAGTTTCTAGAGCCTTCTACTCCCAAATTCTTTTCTTTGCCTCTGAAGAGGAGGAACCACCTCAGTTACCCTCCTCATCACCTGATGTAGTGAAGTAGAGGGTTGTGCCATGCCCAGAGCCTACTGCCAAGGTCTCTCCTGGGGTGACTGTTGGCCTGTCCCTCTGTCCCAGGTAGCCACACTAGGCTTTGTGTGGCCTTGTCCTTGGTCTGTGGGGTAAGGGTGAGCCCTTTCAGGTAGTGACTAAAGTGGTGCAATAGAGGAAGATTGAGTTTTGAAATCTGATAAACCCATTTCCATTCTTGGCTTTCCCATTCTTAGCTTGATCTTATAAAATTTACCTCCTCTCCTGGAACCTCAGCTTCCTCATCTTCAAGATGGAGAAACATGGTCCACCTTGTTGTAAGTGTGAGAGGTGCTGATTTCTCAGCTCATTTGACTTTTTCTCAGACCCTTCTATAGAAAGATCACTGTATGTCCGTGTTCTAATGCTAGAATTTTTTTTCTTTTCTGGAATTGGGGATTGAACCCAGGAGATAGGGTTTCACCAAGTTGCTTAAAACCTCTCTTAAGTTGCTGAGACTGGCTGTGAACTTGTGATCCTCCTGCTTCAGCCTCCTAAAGCTGCTGGGATTACAGGTATGCGCCATGGCGCCCAGCAGATGCTAGATATTTTAAAACATGTACTTTACATGTTTGGATAATATAGAAGTGGCCCTTTAAAAAGAGAATGAGACAGAATGTTTACCATCAGGGCAGCAAGGAGCTGAAGCAGCTGGAGCCTGCTGAGTAGGCTGAGGGCTGTGCCTGGCACACAGCACGTGCTGTACCGTTGCCAGGAGAAGCACTGCATGGAGCTAGTTAGAAACACTTCTAATTTGGCAAAAGACTATCCTTGATGCAGCGTGGAGACTGTCATATACATGAATAGTTATAATGTCACCTTTTCCAGTTAAGCCGAATTATTAACAATCAGGCTTGATGATGAGGGTCAATTTCTTCCCTGATGGAAAGAAGTACAGAGAAGGCAGAAACAAGCAGGAAACGGATTTTACTGGAACCAATAAGGTCAAAAGGCAAGTGAAATGAAAGAAAATGCCAGGCCTGGTAACTGTACAAGGAAGATGTTTAATATATGCTGATTGCTCTGGTCCCCTCACCCCCTTCAGCTACCTCTGTTCCTGCCCTTCTCACCCACACTCACTTTTGTCTGCCTGAAGCCTGATTCCTGGTCCATTTTAAGCAGATTTCACTTGTCTGGAGTGTAGTCTTATCCTCCCATGGAAGACAGAGAAACAGGTTCTTGGGAGTCCCACCCAGCCAGCCACTCTCTCCACCACTTTGCCTCTTGGCACCACCTTCCAGTTTGCTCACTAATGAAATACCTCTCTGCCAGACTCGGCTTTCTCTGGAGCACTGGGGATAGGCAGGTCCTGAGCTCAGTCTTCCTATCCCAGACCAGCACACCACTTGTGTATTTAACAAGCATTTGCTGGGGGACCCTCTGTGTGCTGGGCACTGGGACACAGCAGTGTGAACAATGCAAAACTGCTGCCTGTGGAGCTCACAGTCTAGAAGAGGAGAACAGGAAACCACTTGGACAAATAATGTCAGCGGTGCTATTTGTGATGGGAACAAAATCTGTGGGGGAAAACAAAGCCAGTAGGTAAAGGTGGTAAGGACCTTGCTACACAGTATCTAAGGAAGGACCTGAAGGAGGGGAGAGAACGCCACATTGATCTTTGGGAAAATGTGTCCTAGACAGAGGGAAAAGCAAATGCAGAGACTGGCAGGTGGCAAGAGGCCCCAAATGTCTGAACCAGCAGGGAGCTCAGCATGATTTGGATAGAGTCAGGGGAAGGCAGGCAATAGGGGACTACATGAGACATGAACACATAGGTAGTTGGGAGCCATTTTAAGAAGTTGGCTTTTACTTTAAGTAAGCAGGAAGCCACTGTGAGATGGTCTCTCCCCTCTGGCTGTAGATCCAGCAGATCAAAGGCGGTTAGGGCTGAAAGAAAGAGGTGATGGGGAGACTGTCGTGATGACCCAGTAAGAGCCCATGGTGTTTAGAGATGATGGTGGTGGAGGTAAGGAGGAGCCAGATCCTTAAGAAAGTGAAAACAGGACTTACCCTTGGGACAATGTGGGAGGTAAGAAAGAACATGGGGATGACACCATAGATTTTGACCAGAGCAGCTAGAAGAACAAGGTTGTTGTTTGACTGAGGTGGGAAGGCTGCAGAGGGCACAGGTGTCAGGGGAAGCTCAGGAACTTGGTTTTGACTTGTTGCATTTGAGACCAACGATGTATCCAAGGAAGATGTTGAATAGACATGACTCTGGGGGATAGAGGAAGTTTCTGACAGGATATAAATTTTGTCACTGACCTACTGACGGGATTTCAGCCATTTTTCCAATCTTGATGACAATTGATCCCCCTCCCCCAGCAAGCACAATCTCAGACATCTGGCAGGGACTTAGTGAAGGATAGTTGGCCAGAGAGATGTTGTTAATCAATGCAGTTTTACATCAAAACTACCCCATGGGTGCACAAAAGCAACAGAAAGGTCCTTTCCTAACAGTCCCCTGCCAACTCTGTCCCAGCCCCATAACCAGAAGAAGCAACCCCTCTAACTACCAAACCCCCCTGGAACCATGCCTTGGGGGAATTAACAGTGACAGATGTGGCCCCCAATTCCTCTCCTGGACTGTCCCTGAAGGCCAGTTTTACTCCTTTATGGTTCAATACAAGAACAGGGATGGGCAACCCCAGAAGGTCCTTGTGGCTGCAGACCAGCTTAAGGTCACCATCCCCAACCTAGAGCCTACAGGAAAATATAAGATGAACTACTGTGGGTTACATGGCAAGGAACACATGGCCCCCCTATCTCTGTGGTAGCTGTGATGGGTGAGTAAGTGGGAGTGAGGCAGTTCTCATTCCTATTATCCAGAGCTGGCCCCTAAGACCCTTCTCCAAGCCACCATCCCTCACTGAGGAGTTAGGCCGCTCAGGCTGTGCCTCAGTGACTCTGCAGGTCCCCTTCCAGCCTCCCAGACATCTTAGTCTGTTCTCCGACCCCTTAGCCTCTCCCTGGAGCTAGAACTTTCCCACCCTTCAGTGCCTTCCCCATCTCCAGCCCTCAGCAGGCCAGAATGATGTCATCCTTCCATTTGGCCTAAATCCAGTCTCTCTCTCTCTCTTCCACCCTCTCTGATTGTCCACAGCTGTTTCCTCCCCATCTCTTTTACAACCCTGTGACTTGGATGCAGCTGCCACCTCCCCCCTCTTCCCCCACTTTTTTTCCCCTTTCTTTTCTTTTTTTAATGTGTATGGTACTAAGGATAGAACCCAGGGCCTCACACATGCTAGGCAAATGCTCTACCACTGAGCTACATCCCCAGTCCAGCTCTTTATTTTTTGAGACAGAGTCTTGCTAAGTTGCTGAGGCTGACCTCCAAGTTGGGACCCTTCTGCTTTAGCTTCCCAAGTTAGCTGGCATTACAGGAATCCTACCGCACCTGGCCCTCTTCTGCCTGTTTTTATTGGGGTTAAATGATACACATACCTGAATATCTTCTCAGAGATCCCAGCCATCTGGCCTGAGTTGCATTCCCTGCTGATCCATGCTAGTCTCATCCTTCCACAGGCTGCCCTCTCCCTTGGACCCTCCTGCCCCTCATGGCTTCCTGGGCATTGGTTTGCCACAATTTTTGTGCCAAGGCACATGGTGAAATCCCTATCCCTTCTCTGAGCATTGTTTTAAAATCTAGAAAATAGAATGTATAGGATTAAAAAGGACACCAATTATATTGACATACAGCATGTCTTCTGTTTCTGCAGGTTTCACAACCAAGTATGGATCTGAAGGCTTGTTGTTGTTTTTATACCAGGGACTGAACCCAGGGGCATGAACCTTTTTATTTTTCATTGTGAATTAGGGTCTCACTAAGTTGCTTAGGGGCTCACTAAATTATTAAGGCTGGTCTCAAACTTGGAATCCTCCTACCTCAGACTCCCCAGTCGCTGGTATTACAGGGGTATATCATCACATTTGGCACTAAGTATTTTTTTTAAATGCACTTGTCCTGACTGGGTGCAGTGGGACAACTACATAAGTAGTGTGTTGGACTATATTTGGAGATGATGTTCATAGATTATATGTAAATAATACACCATTTTATATAAGGGACTTGAGCATCCTCGGATTTTATTAGCTGTGAAGGGTCTTAGAAACAAACCTCTTTTGATTCTGTGGGACAGTTAGCAAAATATTTCTTAAAAACTCACATTTGTGATTTGGTAATACTGGACTTCTTCATTAGTTCATTAAATAGCAAGTCTTTGTGGCATGTTTAGTAAACTACCACACTTAGAAATAGTGATGAATGTAAGCAAAATTTTGAAGCTTCTGAAGTAGCTCTAAGGTGATATGAAAGCATCTCAGCTTTCTCTTGATGGCAAACTCACAAGTATTGTTAATTCTACAATATTTGGCTTCCTATCTTCATCATTGAAGGGACTATAACTGTTCCCCATTTTAGTTCTTGATTCCCTTGGAACCAGCAGAGCCCAGGATTTCTCCCCTTTGTAGAACAGGCATGTTCTGTGTCTTTTGGATTCTAGATCCCTTCCCAACCACCCAGGCCACTGAAACCCCTGACCGCCCCCTGGAGCCACGCCTGGGGGAGCTGACAGTGACAGATGTGACCCCTGACTCCGTGGGCCTCTTGTGGACAGTTCCTGAAGGCAAATTTGACTCCTTCATGGTCCAGTATAAGGACAGGCATGGGCAACCCCAGGTGGTGCCAGTGACTGCAGACCAACGGGAGGTTACCATCCCTGGCCTGGAGCCCTCCCGCAAGTACAAGTTCCTGCTTTTTGGGATCCAGGATGGGAAACGACGCAGCCCAGTCTCTGTGGAGGCAAAAACAGGTGAGAGGGTCCCCCGTGCAGCCAGGCCTTGGGCCTCAGCCTTCCCGCCTGCTTCTGTTTGGTTTAAAAATTTATACTGCCTGCCCCAGTCCAAAGCAGACAAGGACCAGTTCTTGGGTCCGATTACCTCCTGCTGGTCTTTCCTCTCTTTTCAACGTTTCTGCTTCTGTTGAATGGGGGAAGCCCCTTCCTGGAAGATGGACTATGGGAGACTGGCTGCTGGGAGAAGGGTAGTGGTCACCATCCTGCCTCCCTAGGCCTTGTGGGTTTCTCACATCTTGAGAGTTTCACCCTTTCCCTCCAACTCTCACCCCCCTCACCCATCTGGCCCCTCATCTGCTTCCCATAAAGGATTTTCTTCCTCCTCTGTCCTCCTAAAGCCTTGGGAACTGGGAACCAGAGGAGTCCAACCCAAATGTGCCCTATTTTGGGGTTCAGTCCAGGCCCTTCTCTGCCCCTGGGGCTTCTTATTGCCAGAAACCTCTCGCAATAACAATGCCGTCAGCGTCTTTGCCGTCCAGGAAGGCAGCAGGCCAGCTCCTTCCCAGGCCCCCGAATGGCTCCTTTGGCAGACATCAGATGCTTTCCCCATCTCAGTTCTCCCACTTTACCCTTCAATTCCTGCAACACCCCCAGGCACAGACAACCCCCCATTCCTCTAGGCCCTATGGGATTCTCAGTGCTCCTGAGTCCAGCTGGTGCAGAATAAGAAAGGGAACAGAGACATGCAAGGACCACCCCTGTCATAACATCTCTCTTCCCCCACTGCTGTCTGCCCCCATTAGGGAACCTGTGCCCCACTTGGATTTCCTCAGGGGCCAGCCAGATCACAAAGTGTGGGCTCCTGGGTCAAAGGAAATAGAGACCAAGTCCATGATAAGATGCCCCCTCCTGCTGGGGAAATAGTCTCTCAGAGATGGGAAGAGTCTAGACAGCAGAAAGGGTAAGATGGAGAGGGGAACTAGGGAATTTCTTCCCAGGAATAACACAGGGCAGAAGACTCTTCCCACGTTGGTCTAGTAAAGAGAAGCTCAGGCCAGTTAGAGATGGTGGCAAGGATGGAGGCTGATGGAAATACAATGAGGGAAACACTGACCACTTGGGAAGTTCTGGGGTTTTCCAGCCATAGCAAGAGACAGTCAAAGAATCATTTCAGAAAAAAAATAATCACAGGAACTTTTCCTGTCTGTCAGCTGCCCGAAGTGATGCCAGCCCAGGGGCTCTACCTCGCCTTGGGGAGCTATGGGTGACGGATACCACCCCAGAGTCACTGCGCCTCTCCTGGACAGTCCCCGAGGGCCATTTTGACTCTTTTGTGGTCCAGTACAAGAGCAAGGATGGGCCCCAGGTGGTGCCCGTGGAGGGCCATGAGCGCTCAGCCACCATCACCTCCCTGGACCCCGGCCGCAAGTACAGATTCCTTCTCTATGGCCTCCTAGGCAAGAAGCGCCTTGGCCCCCTCACTGCTGATGCCACCACAGGTGAGGGGAATCCCCTGCAGAGCCTGATCCTTTAAGGCCCTGGGGCAGCAGGCAGTCACTTGGATAGCTGCCATTACCATTATTTGACCCCAACCACTTGGTCTCMGATCCAGCTCCCCTGTGCCCTTGCATGAGCCTGTAGCACCAGCCCTTTACAAAGCCCTGTCTCCAGATCTCTCCATCCTTCCCTTTGAGGTCACCAGCTTTCCAGAAACACAATAGCCATTTCTTCTCCATTTCTCCATCTCAGTGAGCCCGAGTTCTGTGGACCATACTGGAATAAAACCCCAACTAGGGGAGGAACTGCAAGTGACTGGCGTGACCTCTGACTCTGTGGGCCTCTCATGGACAGTCCCTGAGGGGCAATTTGACTCCTTTGTGGTCCAGTACAAAGACAGGGATGGGCAGCCCCAGGTGGTGCCTGTGGACGGCAGCCTCAGGGAGGTCAATGTCTCAGGCCTGGACCCTGACCGCAGGTACAAGCTGCTGCTCTATGGGCTGCACAACAGCAAGCGTGTGGGTCCCCTTTCTGCCATTGCCATGACTGGTAAGTGTGTGGTGACCAGAACACCCTGTGTTTCTTTTCCTCCTGGCTCTCCTGGTCTCACTGAGCCATAAGGTCTCTCAGCTTTCTGTTTCCCTTCTTTTGGGGAAAGAATGCCTCAGTATTTAAAGGCATCATTAAATCATCACAATGGCACTGTGATTACACAGTATCATTGAGTTTTGGTGAATGTGTAAGTCACGAAACCATTGCCACAAGGGAAATATAAAGCATTGGCATCTACCCAAATTTCCTTGTACCCCTTTGCAGCCAACACCCTCACTCCCAACCCTTGGCATCCATTGATCTACTTTCTATCATTTTAGTTTTGCCTTTTTTGCATTTTGTTTTAACAGCATCATACAATACATGTTGTCTTGGGTTTGGATTCTTGCATTTGCAAAAAGTTTTTGAAATTCAGCTACATGTAGGAAAAGTTGACTCTTTCATTGCTGATCTCTTGCCCTTATCTCCTTCTTTCCTACCCTCCTCTTGAGAGATTTGTTCAGTGGCAGACCAGTCACCCATCTCTCCCTATCTCTCTAAACCAGCCCCTAGGGAAAAAATTGAAGGTGATATCCCCACCCCAAGCCCTCCGACAGCTGAGCCCCACCTGGGGGAACTAATGGTGGAGGAGGCCACCCCTCACAGCCTGCATCTCTCCTGGATGGTCACCAATGGAGAATTCGACTCCTTTGAGGTCCAGTATGAAGATAGAGATGGTCAACTCCAAGTGGTCAGTACTGGGGGAGACCAGAGTGATATTACCCTCACTGGTCTGGAATCAAATCACAGATATCTGGTGACCCTATATGGCTTCCATGATGGTCAGCGTGTGGATTCTACCCACATAGAAGCCCTGACAGGTGAGTGAGAAGAACTCTGCCACTCTGCTCCCTTCCAAATGACTAGGGGGTCCAAAGGAGAGTAAAGGTCCTGCGAACATGGCCTCTCTTTCAAGCCTTCTCTCTCTTCATATTCAGTGCCTCAGGAGGAAGAGAATGAGCCATCAGAAGTACCCACCATGACCCCTGAGCCTCCACTCAGGCCACGCCTAGGGGAGCTGACTGTGACAGATGCCACCCCTGACTCCCTGAGCCTCTCCTGGACAGTCCCTGAAGGACAGTTTGACCACTTCCTGGTCCAGTACAAGAATGGGGAYGGGCAGCCCAAGGTGGTGCGTGTGCCAGGACATGAGGACGAGGTCACCATCTCAGGGCTGGAGCCAGACCACAAGTACAAGATGCACCTGTATGGCTTCCACAGTGGCCAGCGCACAGGCCCYGTCTCTGTCATTGGGGTGACAAGTGAGTGGATGCTGGGAGCCCCAGGGTGGGACCCAGTGGGAGGTTGACTCTAACTCTTGGGTAACAGCTGAGCAGGGAACAGTGGCAGAGCTTGGTCAGGAACCACAGACCTGTTCTTGGCTGAGGCTATGGCCCCCTTTATTCCTTCCCTGGGGTTGACTTCTGTCTCCTTCTGGAAAGGGAAGGGCCATAGGAACTTGTGCTGTGCTGGAAGCTGCCCCCAGTTCCACCCAGCTGATTTTGAGCTTGGGCATGCTTGTCAGCTGAGCAGGGCCTCCCAGCCTCAAGGATGAACTTGGGCTTGTCTAAACTGACCTCGGTACCCCCAGTGGTGGCTGTGGCTCCTTCCTTCTTCTCCCCAAGACCTGAGCACACTTCCCAGGGAACCTGCCTCACCCTCTCTCTTTCACCTTCTCAGCTGCAGTGAAGGAGACCCCCAGCCCCACAGAACCCAGCACGGAGGCCCCAGAGCCCACTGAAGAGCCACTCCTTGGGGAGCTGACAGTGACAGGCTCCTCCCCTGACTCCCTGAGCCTCTCCTGGACTGTGCCCCAGGGCYASTTTGACTCCTTCACCATCCARTACAARGRCAGGGATGGGCRGCCCCAGGTGGTRCGTGTTGGAGGAGAGGAGAGAGAGGCCACTGTGGGGGATCTGGAGCCTGGACGCAAGTACAAGATGCACCTGTATGGCCTCCAGCAGGGCCGCCGTGTGGGCCCTGTGTCTACTCTGGGAGTGACTGGTAAGTGAAGGTTAAGGGGTCTTTAGGTTGATCTCAGGGAAGTGGAGTCTCCAGTGTTTCCTCTGCTAAAGACCCAGGTCCCCAGAGCCCCTAGGCCTCTAATCCCCCCACCCCATCCTGTAGTGCCTTAAGACAGGTGTGATCTGGGGGCAGGGAGAGCAGGGAGAGCAAGTCAGACCTATCTGGGTGAGAGCCCTGGAGACTGAGGCCTCTAAGACAGTGATTCACAGCCAGTTTGTGGCTCTCTCCTTTCCCTCAGAGAAAATTCTAGAGAAATTTCTTTTTGTATGATTGGGACAAATTCCATGAAATATTAATTTATTCCTTTAACACATCATGATGAAGCAAAATTTCAATCATATATGCAATGAGAAAGAATAATATGATGACCACTGGTATATTTGTCACTCTGCTTCAATTAAATGTCAACTCCTGGCCAGTCTGGTTAATTTTTGCCCCGCCCCTTCCCACCCTCTCCTACTAGAATGTTCTTTTTTTTTTTTTTTTTTTTTAATATTTATTTTTTAGTTCTCGGCGGACACAACATCTCCGTTGGTACGTGGTGCTGAGGATCGAACCCGGGCCGCACGCATGCCAGGCGAGCGCGCTACTGCTTGAGCCACATCCCCAGCCCTAGAATGTTCTTTATTAGTGATTTTTTTCACTATAAAATTTATGTGCCATAAAATTCACCTGTTTTAAGGGTGCAGCTTATCCATTTTGGTACATTTACCTAGTTTGCAACCATCACCACTGTCTATTTTCAAAACTTTTTCACCATCCCAAAAAGATATTTTAACTTCAGATGCGTTCCTATCCCCAACCCTCCTTCCCCACTTATCTACATGACTCAGGAGATTTGCCTTTTCTAGAATTATACAAATATAATTATATAATTCATGTTTTTTGGGGTCTGACTTCTTTCACTGTGTCCCAGGGACAGTTTGACTTTCACTGAGCATGATGTTTTTGAGGTTTATTCACTGCAGTATTTTAAAACTAATCTTGGACACACTATATTTTTAATAAATATGTAAACATATCTTTCTTTTTAAAAAGGCTATTTTTATAGGCTGGTGGTATAGCTCAGTGGTTGAGTAGTAGCCTAGCATGTGCAAGGATCTGGGTTCAATCCCTGGCACAGCAAAAGGAAATAAACACACAAATAGGCTATTTTTTTAAAATATCCACAATGCAATTACCACGCTCACCTACTATGCGTGAGGTACTGGGTTCAATCCCCAGCACCACATAGAAATAAAATAAAGATATTGTGTCCACCTATAACTAAAAAATAAATATTAAAAAGAAAGAAATCAAAAGAATTGGAATTTTGATTAGAATAGTCAAGAAAGGCCTCCAATAGGAGGTGATATTTGAGCAAAGATTTAAAGAAAGAATAGACATGAGCCATTCGTACATCTGGAGAAAGTCTTCAGGAGAAGTGAACAGTCATGCAAAGGCCCTGATGTAGGAGGCTGCCTGGCATGTTTGTGGACTGTAAAGAGACCACAGAAAGACTTTGGTGATCATAATCAGAAATAGATTCTAAGGCCAGAGCTAGTCCACCTTCTGACCTGGATCCAAGAAAGCTGGGACTTCAACACCTCCTTCCAGCAACAAGAAATATTCTGTTTATATCTCTAGCCCCTGAAGAGGAGCCTTCTGATGCCCCTCCTCTGAAGCCACGCTTGGAGGAGCTGACTGTGACAGATGCCACTTCCGACACCCTGAGCCTCTCCTGGACAGTCCCTGAGGGACAATTTGACCACTTCCTGCTCCAGTATAAGAATGGGGATGGGCAGCCCAAGGCTGTGCGGGTGCCAGGGCACAAAGATAGTATAACCATTTCAGGCCTAGAGCCAGACCATAAATACAAGATGCACCTGTATGGCTTCCACGGTAACCAGCGCACGGGCCCTGTCTCTGCTGTCGGTTCAACTGGTGAGTAGATAGAAAGATACTGGGCCCTGCCCCAGGTTGGATCCAGTTTTCCTTTTACTGTTAGTATTTTGTTTTGTTGTTGTTGTTTTGGTTTGATTTTGGGTTTTTTTTTTTTTTTTTTTGTATGTGGGATTGAACCCAGGGGCACTTAGCCACTGATCCACATCCCCATCCCTTTTTGAATTTTATTTAGAGACAGGGTCTCAGTAAGTTGCTAAGGGCCTTACTAAGTTGCTGAGACTGGTTTTGAACTTACGATCCTACTGCCTCAGCCTTCTGAGTCACTGGGATTACAGGCATGTGCCACCACACCCGGTTGTTGTTGTTATTTTTATACTAGAGATGAACCTCAGGAAACCTTACTAATGGACTAGAACCCTAGTCCATTTCATCTTTTTACTTAGAGAAAGGGTATTGCTAAGTTGCTTAGGGCCTCAGCCTCCTGAGTTGCTGGGATTTCAGGTATGTCTTACCATGCCCTGCTTGGGTGTTTTTATTTTACTCCCTGAGACTAAGCCTCCTGAGCTTCTAGGATTGGTTCCGCTCTTGTCTTCACTCCAAACCTTTGATGTTGCCTCAGCTCTCTTATCCTTTACACAGGGGTATTTTGGGTCCTTGAAGAGGCAAGATACCAGGGAAAGAACGGATTCAGGCACAGCCTGGGTTGACCTTAACCTCAGCCCATTCAACCTCAAAAGAATCACTCAGCCTCTCTGGGCTTCCCTTTCCTCTTCAAAGAAGGAATAGCCACACATCTTAAAGGGTGGGTGGGGTATGACTGGGCTCACACAGTGTGAAAGGTAACCACTTCCCCTTGAAGGTAATTCGTTCTTAAAGACTCCTTAGGACAGAGGCTAGAGTTGTGGTTCAGTGATAGAGTGCTGTCTAGCATATGTGAGGCACTGGGTTTGATCTTCAGCACCACATAAGAAAATAAATAAAAATAAGGTAAGGTATGTGTCCATCTACAATTAAACAACTAAAAAATATTTTTTTAAAAAAACTCCTTAGGACAAACCTATTATCATTGATTTTAGTAGGAAAAATTATAGTTGTTTCCTAAGCCCCCAAATTGATACCACTTATGCCGAACCAACACTGAATCCTGTGCATTGTTTTACTATTTAATATTAGTCATGTGTGCAACTTAACAAGGCRTTTTCCTTTCACCAGTCACTCTGTAACATGGTCACTGATGCTTTTATTAGGCCTTATGTCGCTGCTACCCCTGAGGTATAAGATGCTTTCCCAAACAGAACAAATGAACATGGTGATTTTGTGATTCAATTCTCAAGGCAGATGAAACCCTATAAGAACAGAAAAGGTTAATAAAAACAAAGCACATGATTTCACAGAGGCCCAAAGAGCTGGTCTCAGTGGAGTGGAATCTTTGTCCTAAGTTAGCAGAACCCCTGTTAAGGTCTAGAAAATACCTGATTGCAAAAATGACCTCAGTCTCTCATCTCCTTACCCTCAGTGGTGAAATCAAAATTGGCTTCTAAAAATGCTTGGGAAAATATTGTAAACCAGAAGGGTCATTAAAGGAAAATACTTGTAAAATAGGAGTCCCAATCCCAAGAGGATGTAGCTCCCAATATAACTTTCCTATAATGTTGGGTTTTGTCATAAAATGTTGTATCTAACACACTAAACAGATGGGATTTGGCAACTCCTAAGGGACTGCATTGCAACTTTGCACAAGTCTGTGCTTTCTCCCTGGTAACTGAATATTCAAACCAGAGGACCTGCGGTTACTGACCAAGCCTCTGCCACTGTTCCCTGCTCAGCTGGATTTCCCTTCTAAGAGAAATCCTAAAATCCCTTGGCTAGAAGGAACCCTACCAAATATGTCCACCGATTTTTTTTCTCATGATCCAGACCCAGAAAAGGATGAAATACTTACCGCAACTCTGACAGAACCACCAACCACAACCCCTGAGCCTTCTATCAAGCCACGCCTAGGGCAGCTGACCGTGACAGAGGCCACCCCTGACTCCCTAAGCCTCTCCTGGACAATCCCTGAAGGACAGTTTGACCACTTCCTGGTCCAGTACAAGAATGGGGACGGGCAGCCCAAGGTRGTGCGGGTGCCAGGACATGAGGACGAGGTCACCATCTCAGGGCTGGAGCCAGACCACAAGTACAAGATGCACCTGTATGGCTTCCACAGTGGCCAGCGCACAGGCCCYGTCTCTGTCATTGGGGTGACAAGTGAGTGGATGYTGGGAGCCCCGGGGTGGGGCCCAGTGGGAGGTTGACTCTAACTCTTGGGTAACAGCTGAGCAGGGAACAGTGGCAGAGGCTTGGTCAGTAACCACAGGCCTGATCTTGGCTGAGGCTATGGCCCCCTTTGTGTCTCTCCTGGGTTTGACCTCTGTTTCCTTTTGGAAAGGGAAGGGCCATAGGAACTTGCGCTGTGCTGGGAGCTGCCCCCAGTTCCATCCAGCTGCCCTTGAGCTTGGGCATGCTTGTCAGCTGAGCAGGGCCTCCCAGCCCCAAGGATGAACTTGGGCTTATCTAAACCGACCTCAGTACCCCCAATGGTGGCTGTGGCTCCTCCCTTCTTCTCCCCAAAACCTGAGACACTTCCCAGGAAGCCTGCCTCACTCTCTCTCTTTCTCCTTCTCAGCTGCAGAGGAGGAGACCCCCAGCCCCACAGAGGTGGAGGAGACCCCCAGGCCCACAGAACCCAGCACGGAGGCCCCAGAGCCCACTGAGGAGCCACTCCTTGGGGAGCTGACAGTGACAGGCTCCTCCCCTGACTCCCTGAGCCTCTCCTGGACTGTGCCCCAGGGCCASTTTGACTCCTTCACCATCCAGTACAARGRCAGGGATGGGCGGCCCCAGGTGGTGCGTGTTGGAGGAGAGGAGAGAGAGGCCACTGTGGGGGAYCTGGAGCCTGGACGCAAGTACAAGATGCACCTGTATGGCCTCCAKCAGGGCCGCCGTGTGGGCCCCGTGTCTACTTTAGGAATGACCGGTAAGTGAGGAAGGGACTGAGGGGTTATCTTTCTTTCCCTGTGGATATCTGTTTGACTGTTGGATTTTTTTCAACAACTCCTGTGGGCCGGAGCCTTGGCCACCCTCTCATGTCCTTCCTCCATTATCCTTGTCCATGGCCTATACCTATTGGTTTGACCTTTGCTCACTTTCAGCCATTTTCACTTTGTTGTGGGCTCTCTCTGACAGGCAACCTTTGCCACCTCCAACAGTGAAATATGTCAGGCACAGGCCAAGCTGGATTTACCAGAATTTTCTTTTCTTTCCATCTTAATTATGGGATTCTTTGTTATAACTACACACACACACACACACACACACACACACACACACACACAAAAGAAACAACCCAACATCAAGCCACATTGGGATGACTGAATAACTTAGTGAATAGCTTTAAAATGAGCTATTATACTGCCATTGAAAATGTTTTACATAAAACAATGACTTTATTATGTTCCATTGAAAACACAGAGGCCCAAATTTTTGTAAAGATGCTAATCACAGCTATTCTAAAATAGCAGGCATGGCAAGAAGACTGGGAAGAAATACATCCCACGGGTATATGATTTGTTAGACAGAATGGAGTGTTCCAGCATGTTTTATTTTTCTATTTTATTCTTTTCTGCATTGTCCAAATTTTCTTAAATGAGGGCATTTCTTTTTTCTTTCTCTAGGCATTTTTTTTATAATCAGAAAAAAGCAGAGAAATACAATGTCTTCTTTTTGTATTCCATCTGTCTTCTTCCCTGTCACTCTGGAAACTTACTTCATTTCTAATTATGAGAAAGTTAAATTCAGTCCATAAGAAAGTGAGGAACAAATCACAAGGTGAATTGGAATCCCACAGGGCATCAGGCTGCCTTTTCCAAATCATTCTCAGCCAGATTCTGATGCCTGCCTCAGATTATTTCTTAAGAGTTTCCCAGATCTGGAAGGCCCCACCCTCTGAGAGTCATCTTGTGGAGGGCAGGTGGCTGCCTCTTTGCCCCAGAACTGTGGTTTGGGACAGGTACTCTCATGTCCTGGTGATCATCTAGATGGAGGAACTGTTATTCCTCAGGCTCCCTGCCCATGGGGACAGGCCTTGTTCTTATACGTGTATTCAGCAGATCATCTGTGTGTGGAGTGGGAGGACAAGGAGAACAGAGGAGTCATTGGAAAATGAACATCAGAAAAATTTGCACTAAGCTGTTAATTCTCATGCACCATCAGTTGTGTATTTTCTTATCCCCTATCCTGGCAAATCACAGCATTCCCTAGGAAGAGGGGGCAGTGTAAGGGGTCCATGTCCCCTGCCTTCCTGTTCTATCTGCATTGCTCTTCAATCCCACCCCCTTCTTAATTATTATTTCTTTAAAATTTTATTTATTTATTTATTTTAGTTGTTGATGAACCTTTGTGTTTTATTTATGTGGTGCTGAGAATTGAACCCAGTGCCTCACACATTCAAGGCAAGTGCTCTACCACTGAGCCACAACCTCAGCCCTCAATCATTACTTTTTATAATACAAAATTTCTCTTTTAATTTTTAAAATTTTTTTTTCTTTTGAATCCAGGGTGCTTTACCACTGAGCTACATCCCCAGACCTTTTTAGTTTTCATTCTGAGACAGGGTCTTCCTAAGTTGTTAAGGTCACCCTCCAATTTGCCATCCTCCTGCATCATCCTCCCTAGTTGCTGGGGTTATAGGCATGCGTTACCATATTCAAGCAGAATTTCTTTCTAAATCTACATTTTTATAGTGAAAAGAACTGTAGCAGCATTATGGAAAAATAGGAAAAAACTCATAATCCTACCTTTGACCCAATAACTGCTGTAAATAACAGTGTGAGCATTTACCTAGCAAGCATGAGCCCCCCTCCAAACAAACCAAAAACTATGTGTATAACACATATTCCCTTTCTGCATTTTGCATACAAGTATGTGTTTTGAAGTTGCAGTCAAGAATATTCATTTAAATTTTGGCTCTTAATTTTTTGTACACAGTTACATTGTAATCATTTACCTGGCAGCTACACAACCTTTATTAATCATCATTTTAATGGTTATTTGATGCTTTGTGGTGAAAGCTCTGTACCAAAATTAATCATCTTTTCCAGGTCATTTGGTTTCCTGACACATTTTGCTGCCATGAATAATCCCATTATGAATTCTTCCATGCTATAACTTTTTCCTGCTTTTAATAATTTTCTTAGGACAGATGCCCAGGATGGGATTATTGGGTCAAAGGAAATGAGTACAATTTTGGCTCCTGACACCTATGTCCCATTTGTTTTCTGAAAATTTGTAACCATGCACCACTGCCAACAGGACAGGACAGGCGTGGGGGCTGGCTCAGCTCCCTCCAACTATGAATGACTGGATGGCTAATACCAAAGGCTACCCAAGCCTCTGAGCCTTTGACTTGAGAAGCATATCTCCTGGATGTACTTCTCCATATGTATCAATGACACTAGTGAAGTAAGTCACCTTTGCTTCTGTCTCTTCTTTTAGCCCCACAGAAGGTTGTGGAGGAGACTCCCAGCCCCACAGAACCCAGCACGGAGGCCCCAGAGCCCACTGAGGAGCCACTCCTGGGGGAGCTGACAGTGACAGGCTCCTCCCCTGACTCCCTGAGCCTCTCCTGGACTGTGCCCCAKGGCCASTTYGACTCCTTCACCATCCAGTACAARGRCAGGGATGGGCRGCCCCAGGTGGTRCRWGTTGGAGGAGAGGAGAGAGARGCCACTGTKGRGGAYYTGGAGCCTGGACRCAAGTACAAGATGCACCTGTATGGCTTCCACAGTGGCCAGCGCACAGGCCCCGTCTCTGTCATTGGGGTGACAAGTGAGTGGATGCTGGGAGCCCCAGGGTGGGACCCAGTGGGAGGTTGACTCTCACTCTTGGGTAACAGCTGAGCAGGGAACATTTGTCCTGGGCAGGGAAGGACCGCAGGGACTTGTGCTGTGTTGGGAGCTGCCCCCATTTCCACCCAGCTGCCCTTGACCTGAGGACACTTCCTAGGAAACCTGCTTCACCCTCTCTCTCTCTTCCCTTCAGCCCCCAGCCCCACAGAACCCAGCACAGAGGCCCCAGAGTCCACTGAGGAGCCACTCCTGGGGGAGCTGACAGTGACAGGCGCCTCCCCTGACTCCCTGAGCCTCTCCTGGACTGTGCCCCATGGCCAGTTCGACTCCTTCACCATCCAGTACAAGGGCAGGGATGGGCAGCCCCAGGTGGTACGAGTTGGAGGAGAGGAGAGAGAGGCCACTGTGGGGGACCTGGCACCTGGACGCAAGTACAAGATGAACCTATATGGACTCCACCAGGGCCACCGTGTAGGTCCCATGTCCACCGTGGGTGTCACTGGTGAGTGAAAGTGGGGAGGGGCAGGGCAGGGAAGAGCAGTGTTGGAAGTGTTTGATTCTCCATCAGCTTTACAAAAACAAAACGTTCCCAGCAGCAATGCTGCTTGTGCATATCTGAGTGCCTTGTGCATCTGCAGATTTGTATTCATCAGGTTGGGGCTGGAGCCTGATATTCTACATTCCTATCAAGGTTTGTTGCTTCTGGTGCCTTGGTATACCTCCTCACAACAGAGCAATGTGATTGTCCCTTGCAATTCATTGCTGAGAATTTTGCTTGCATCCCTGATTCCTCAGAGAGGCTCCACCTCTGTGGAGTTTCCTGGAAGCCATGAAGAAAGAGGGAAGGTAAAGGGGCACAGTATCTTCTCTGTGCACCTGTAATCCCATTGTAGGATACTGACAGACCTTTGGTCTATGGGTATACTGTTTATTCCACAGTGAATTTCATGCCCTTATCCAGGCACTGTGGAGTTCATTCACCTGTGATGCATGAATGAGTTTATGCTGCTTGTGGAGCAGGATAGTGAGTCATTCTGTAAGAGTGTTGGGAAAGAAATGGTTTAGGATCCATGCTAGGTGTTAGGTGACTTGTGAGAGACTAGGAGGCAGGTTTGGCTCCAAATTGGATGCTGTCAGGAAGAGGGCTCAACTTTATCACTGGGAATCTTACCAAGTCTTATCTGTGGGGAGGTCTCTAGAGGGAGGCCAAAGCTGGGACTCTATCAGCAGCCATCACTCAGATTAGCTGGATGGGGCTGTTGGGTCATGTCTGTGGTTTGGTGAATGTTCAAGTTTGTGTGTGGAGACATGATTCCAGGCTGGCTCTGTTTTTAAGCTATTCTGATGACAGATGTCTATGTGGATGACCCATGAAACTATCTATGCTCCACTGGACCACACAGGACTGAGCTGTGCCAGGCCAGCTTTGAGCAAGCAAGGTCAGCTGAGAGAGTGGGCAGATCCCATTGTTAGCTCACATTGCTGCTTTTTTCTCTCTCAGGGTAAAGTTTTGAAAGATACATATACAAGTTCACATTTTTGTTGGGCTCACATTCAGGGTGACAGGCAGAAAGCCAGAAAGTTCAGTAGAGGGGGATGAGTCTGAATGAGGCAGGGACTCCCAAGCTAACATGCCTACAGGGAGCTGAAACTTATCAGGCATTAGCCTGGCAACAGCTTTAGAAAGTGGATATCAGGTAAATGTCCCAACTGGTGCAGAGACCATGAGGATAGAGAAAGCATGGCACACAAGAGAGGATTTTGTAAGATGTCTTCAAGATACAGGGATGGCCCTGAGGTGTGGGTGAAGAGATGGGAGAAGCTTAGGAGGCCTGAGGGGTATGGTTGCCGAATGTTGGCATCTGATGTGAACATACCAAGCTTAGGCCATGTTAAATATGGCGGGTGCAGGTGAGCCCAGAGTCAGGAAGGGCGGTAGGGAGGAAACAATCCAAGTGAGAAGAGACAGTGGCCACTCCAGGGCCTGCAGCTAGAGGAACTTAGGAAGGAGTCTGGGACAGTCTGAGCCACTAGTGTGATGGCAGCTGGGAGAGGGACAGGTCCAGGGCACTCCCCAGTTTCTGGCTTGGGTGGGGTGTTCTGAGGCTCTTTGGGAGCAAAGACCTGAACCAGGCAGATGAGGAGGTGGCCAGGAGACTCCAGTGGAGGGAGGCCCAGGGTACAGTGACCAAGTGGGCCCTTCTCAAGAGGCAGGTGCTGGAGGGAGGAGAAGTTATGTGGGTGTTGGTAGATGGTGGCAGTTGGTAGATGGTGGGTGAGGGCTAGGAACGGGGATGTGGAAGGAGCAGGAAGGGGGGACATGTCAGTGGTGCCTTGGACAGCATCACTCTGCTCCTTGGTGCTTTATTTGTTGTAAGTGCTGCTTTGGCTGCTGAACTAAGATGGCTGAGGAGATCTCACTGTCCCTGTATGTGTGTGTGTCCCTCTGCAGAGGATGAAGCAATGACCACGCAAGTAACACCCACCACAACCCCCGAGCCTCCTCTCAGGCCACGCCTAGGGCAGCTGACTGTGACAGATGCTACCCCTGACTCCCTGAGCCTCTCCTGGACAGTCCCTGAAGGACAGTTTGACCACTTCCTGGTCCAGTACAAGAATGGGGAYGGGCAGCCCAAGGTRGTGCGGGTGCCAGGACATGAGGACGAGGTCACCATCTCAGGGCTGGAGCCAGACCACAAGTACAAGATGCACCTGTATGGCTTCCACAGTGGCCAGCGCACAGGCCCCGTCTCTGTCATTGGGGTGACAAGTGAGTGGATGCTGGGAGCTCCGGGGTGGGGCCCAGTGGGAGGTTGACTCTCATTCTTGGATAACAGCTGAGCAGGGAACAGTTGTCCTGGACAGGGAAGGACCACAGGGACTTGTGCTGTGCTGGGAGCTGCCCCCAGTTCCATCCATCTGACCTTGAGCTTGGGCATGCTTGTCAGCTAAGCAGGGCCTCTCAGCCCTAAGGATGAACTTGGGCTTGTCTAAACTGACCTCAGTACCCCCAGTGCTGGCCATGGCTTCTCTCTCTTTCTCCCCAAGACCTGAATGCATCTCCTAGAGAACCTGCTTCACCTTCTCTGTCTCTCATTCTCAGCTGCAGAGGAGGAGACCCCCAGCCCCACAGAGGTGGAGGAGACCCCCAGGCCCACAGAACCCAGCACAGAGGCCCCAGAGTCCACTGAGGAGCCACTCCTGGGGGAGCTAACAGTGACAGGCACCTCCCCTGACTCCCTGAGCCTCTCCTGGACTGTGCCCCAGGGCCACTTTGACTCCTTCACCATCCAGTACAAGGACAGGGATGGGCAGCCCCAGGTGGTACGAGTTGGAGGAGAGGAGAGAGAGGCCACTGTGGGGGACCTGGAGCCTGGACGCAAGTACAAGATGCACCTGTATGGACTCCACCAGGGCCACCGCGTGGGTCCTGCATCTGCAGTTGGGGTGACCTGTAAGTAAGGGGTGGGCCCTTCACTCTGGGGTCCCTCTTGTTTTTTTCTTTTTTGGATATCAACACCTTATCACTGGACCTCTTGGTTCCTATTTTCTTAAATATTACTAATGATGTTGCTTGTCCTTGAATTGAATATTATTTATCACTTCATTTGTGGTGAAATGGGCATGTGGTCCATGCCCCATTTATTGTGGCTTCCCTCCTCCCACCATTATCCAGAACTTCTAAGTCACTCTATTTCTCATTAACTGCACCCTCAGGTTCCATGACTGGATATTTTATTGACTCCAAATGTGCTCCAGGTTTGGACTTTGTAGATTTGAATCTGCCTCCAAGTGTACTAACTGTAATTTTGCAAGCTTTTCTTAACCCCTGTGGCCTCAGATCCTGCAGTATGGGGTGGTAATTTTATTAGCACTTTGTTGGGAGTTAGGTGCACTCTCGGGTGTGAACTGCTTACAGCAAAGCCTGGGATACAGGGAAGAGGTTATGGGGGAAAGAACCGTCTCCCTTGAGCAGTTCCTGCCTCTATCCTCAGCCTCTTCTGCTCTCTTCCAGCCTCCCTCCCTACTCAGACTCCCGTGGAGCCCCACCTTGGGGACCTGGCTGTGGCAGCTGTGACCTTGGACACTGTGCACCTCTCATGGACCGTGGCCCAGGGTCCCTTTGACTCCTTCCTGGTCCAGTACAAGGATGCACAGGGGCAGCTCCAGGCAGTTCCCGTGAATAGAGACCTCCGTGAGGTTACTATCTCGGGTCTGGACCCCGCCCGCAAGTACAGGTTCTTGCTCTTTGGACTCCTGGATGGGAAGCGCCATGGCCCAGTCTCTGTGGATGCCAAGACCCGTGAGTGGAAGACAGAGGCCACCTTTGTCTCTGGAGCTTGTGGCCTGCTCCGCCCCCTTGTGGTGACTGTTGGGATTTCATATTTCTGTGCCTCACACTCCAGACCTTAGGACCTCAGGACCCATTTATTTATCAGGTTTATTGAAATCCAGACCCTGAGCTTCTCTTCCCCCACCCCACTCCCATCCTTATCCCTACCCTGCTTACATCCCATTCCAGGAGACCCTTAGTTTCTTTGCTGACTTTTTTTTTTTTTTGCAGTGCTTTTATACCTATTCCTGGTCCATTTGCTCCCTCATGTCCTCCATAACCATAGAGCATAGCACACACACACACCCAGCAGTCTCTCTGCTTCCATCTCTGTGTCCATCACTCTCCATACAGCTCCCTCTCTTTTCCAGTCCCAGACAAGAAACCCTCTCCCCGCCTGGGAGAGCTGACAGTGACAGATGTGACCCCTGACTCCATGGGCCTCTCATGGACAGTCCCTGAAGGCGAATTTGACTCCTTTGTGATCCAGTACAAGGACAGGGATGGGCAGCCCCAGGTGGTTCCTGTGGCCGCAGACCAGCGTAAGGTTACCATCCCCAGCCTGGAGCCAAATAGGAAATACAAGTTCCTACTGTATGGCCTGGCAGGCAAGAAGCGGCTGGGCCCCCTCTCTGCTGATGGCACCACAGGTAAGCAAGCCCCTGGCCCTGCCTCCTGCCCTTTCCAGAGCTGCCTCTTATTTGAGAGCCCAGAGTTGACAGCATGGCCTTCCCAGGAAATATATTCTCTCTTCAGCCTGGGCATAGCAACCATAACACCAAAAGAAAGTCCCTACTGTGTGCTAAACACAATTGTGAGCATTTCATATGCACTATTACCTTCATTCATAAACTGCTGCTGAAGGATTAAGAAGTAGGCTTTGGGCCGACCTGTGTTCAGATTCCAACTTCAGCCCTCTCCAGCCATGTGGCCATGGACATTGGCTTCCTCAACTGCATGATGGTGATGAATAATCCCCACTGGCACTCAGTTTGCCCATCTTTCTTCTTCCAATCCCAACCCTGAGGCAAGAGGTGGAAAGTAAGGGAGGGCTTGGCTGAAGAAAGACTGGAAAAATCTGGTATCCTTGAGCCCATGACTCAGCCCCCTGAGAAAAGGGTGGAGTGGGTCACTGACCCTTACCCACTCCCAGGACCGTGAGTCACCCTGGCCAGCCAGTCAGGGCTTGGGGCCCCACACTCCATTATTATTTTTTTTGGGGGGGGGTACTGGGGATTGAACTCAGGGGCACTCAACCACTGAGCCACATGTCCAGCACTATTTTGTATTTTATTTAGAGACAGGGTCTCCACTGAGTTGCTTAGTGCCTCACTGTTGCTGAGGCTGGCTTTGAACTCATGATCCTCTTGCCTCAGCCTCCTGAGCTGCTGGGCTTATAGGCATGTGCCACTGTGCCCAACCAGACTCCATTTTTCTTTACCCCAAACTCTCACTTGGAGACTACATATAGGTTCCTCTGATCTCTATCAACAGCCATCCCCATATGGGAGAGTTTCCTTTTCTTTGTCTTTGTTCTTCCAGCTCTGCCCTACCCCAGCTGCCCTGGTCCAGTAGGATTAGTTTGGGACTGGGGAAGCAGGTGGGGGGATGATTCAGGCTGATGGCCATGGCAGGACATAAGGCTGAGCAGTGATAGAAGCTGTGAGCTGCCTGGCTGCCCAACCCAGGTCTCCCACATGGGGGTGTCTGACAATCCAGACACCCTCTGAGAGTCTCTCAGCTCTGACCACAGCCCTGCTCAGAGGCTAGAGGTCAGAGGAAATTAAGGTCCCCCTCTGTACCACCCTTCTCTGGTGAGATGATCTTTTATGTTTACTGTCCCCTTGAACACAGCAGGGAGGGAGCAGAGATGGGAAGGGGGGTGGGCAGTGGCCTCCAGAGGGAGGACAGGGCTGCTATCCCTCATCCTGCAGAGCAGGCCTATTCATCCTTAGGTGCTGTTCCAGAGACCACCTGGGGACCTTTCCAAGACCCTTATACCTCCCAGGAGTTGCCAGGGCTTGGGGTCAGGCAGGTCTTAACAAGGATTCTCCCTTATGCTCTCCACAGCTCCCCTGGAGAAAACCCGGCAGCCCCCACCACGCCTAGGGGAACTAGCAGTGACTGAGGAGACCTCAGACTCCCTGCGCCTGTCCTGGACTGTGGCCCAGGGCCCCTTTGACTCCTTCCTAGTCCAGTATAAGGACACCAACGGGCAGTCCCAGGCAGTGCCTGTGGCCGCAGACCAGCTTGAAGTCACCATAGAGGGCCTGAAACCTGGCAGGAAATACAAGTTTCTGCTCTATGGACTAGTTGGAGGAAAGCGCCTGGGCCCAGTCTCCGTCCTGGGAATGACAGGTGAGGCCTAAGGCTGTCCTGCTTGGCACTAGCAGGTAGCTTCCTTGCACCTTTGTGCTAAAGACTGACAGGAGTGGACAGGCCAGGAGAGGGAGCCTTGACCAGGGCCCAAGGAAAAGGAAAGTTTGCCACTAAGTCAGGCTGCCATTGATTACAGAGTTAGACAAAAGCGGAGCCAGGACAGGCGAGAAGGAAAGGTCTTAGTGGTGGTTCCCTTACTTGCTGACCCCAGTTTTTGTCCATCATGTGGCTTCCCCCCACTACTCTGTTGGGGTATCTGTTAACCTCCAGACTGGGGCAAACTTTCCTGCCATGGATGAGGCAGGAGCATTTCCTCAAATGGAAAATCTCTGGGAAGCACAACAGATGAGGGACACAGAAGCCAGTAGATGTGACTGCATTTGTGGGGCAGGCTCCTCTTCCARAGGTCACTGACATCCACATCAGGTCTGCCAGGTTAGAGGCAGCTGGTATGACTGGCCTATCACAGCCCGGCCCACCCTCAGCTGTTCTCAGAAAGAATACCATGTGTCCCAAGCCCCAAGCCCCATGATTGCCAGGCAATCAATACAGGGTGGAGTCTGTGCAGACAGCTAGAGGAGAGGCTGGATGGGATTAGGTAGGGAAGGGGAAAATACGTACTTGATCCAGACACAGCACAGGATACCTGAAAAGAGGATGAGGTCACAGCAGCTTTCCAATCAGGGAACAAGCCTCAGGCGTATCAGGAATAAGTCAGATTTAAGAGTTGGAAAGTCCTAGAAGAACTTAGCCCCTCTCTTCTCTCTACCTGATAGCCTAATCAGAACTATAAAGTCCCCACCCCGGCCTTGGGCCAGCAAGATGGAAAAAGCAGAGCCCCGTGGCACTTCCACTTAACTTCTTCTCTGCCCCCCCCCACAGCCCCAGAAGAGGACACACCAGCCCCAGAAGCCCCTGAGCCCTCTGAAGCACCGAAGCTGGGGGTGCTGGCTGTGACCGAGGCAACCCCAGACTCACTGCGCCTGTCGTGGAGTGTGGTCCAGGGCCCCTTTGACTCCTTTGTGGTCCAGTATCTGGACACAGATGGGCAGCCCCAGGCCCTGCTTGTGGATGGTGATCAGAACAAGGTCCTCATCTCAGGCCTGGAGCCCAACACCTCTTACCAGTTCTCCCTCTATGGTCTCCATGAAGGGATGCGTCGAGGGCCCATCTCCACAGAGGGCACCACAGGTGGGCCAGGCCTGGGTTGAGCTGGGTAAGGGGGCCCCCAGAAATGGGGATCACTTGAGGGCTTGAGGTGGTGCCCAGGAGAAGGCAGGCCAATGGACTCTAGGGCAGCTCTTTGCTCTGCTCCTACCCGCAGCCACTAAAGGAGTCCTTTACCAGCTCTACTGTTGTCAGAGAAATATGCCAGGGCAGTGGCAGAAGGCCACTGGGCTGGTGTGTATCTGTCTCCAACCTTTCTTTCCCATCTGTTCCTCCCAGGGCCTCCTCCTGCTGGTCTGACCCCAGGAGACCCAGGGCCCCGCCTGTCTCACCTGTCAGTGACTGATGTGACCACCAGTTCGCTACGGCTCAACTGGGAGGCCCCACTTGGAGCCTTTGATTCCTTCCTACTCCGCTTTGGGGTTCCATCACCAAGCACCCTGGAGCCACGTCCACGTCCTCTGCTGCAAAGGGAGCTGATGGTGCCCGGGACAAGGCGCTCAGCGGTGCTCCGAGATCTGCGCCCTGGGACCCTGTACAGCCTTACTCTCTATGGGCTACGAGGGCCTCACAAGGCTGACAGCATCCAAGGCACTGCCCGGACCCTCAGCCCAAGTAAGGCCCCATTTGGGGCACCCACTAAAATGGACCTGGTACCTCAGCCAGAGGGAGGCTGGGGAGTGCGTAGGAGACATGGAGGATTCTTGAGAGCAATTTCCATTCCTAAGAAAAGGTGTGGTGGGCACTTCTGGAGCCAGGAGGCCCAGGAGAAAGGGAGGGAACCTCCCTGCCCCTGCCCTCACCATCATCCCTTGCTCCCATCCTCAGTTCTGGAGAGTCCACGTGACCTCCAATTCAGCGAAATTGGGGAGACCTCAGCCATGGTCAGCTGGGTGCCACCACCATCCAGGGTGGACAGCTTCAAAGTTTCCTACCAGCTGGCAGATGGAGGTAACGCTTTTCTGCCCATGTCCTCATCTGCTCTCTCATCTCTCCTGCCCCTGCCCTCTGTCCACCCCCAGTTGCTATGGAGTTCCCTGGGTAACCTCCTAGCCCCCAATATGTTTTCAGGGGAGCCGCAGAGTGTGCAGGTGGATGGCCGGGCCCAGACCCAGAAAATTCAGGGGCTGATCCCAGGTGCTCGCTACGAGGTGACAGTGGTCTCTGTCCGCGGCTTTGAGGAGAGTGAGCCTCTCACAGGCTTCCTCACCACTGGTGAGAGGGACTGGGCCAGCGCAGCAGGTGGAGGGAGAGAAAATGAGGGTGTGGGCAGGAGCCTGGAAGGAACCCAAGGGGAAGGGAGGGGAGGCACTGGAGCTCTGACTGTGGACAAGGGAGTAGCCAGTGAGTTCGGGAAGGTTAGGAGTAGGGACAGTGCTGGAGACCCCTCTGAGCCCTTCCCCTCTCCCAGTTCCTGATGGCCCCACTGAGCTGCGTGCACTGAACTTGACTGAGGGATCCACTCTGCTGCACTGGAAGCCCCCCCAGAACCCTGTGGACAAATACAACGTCCAGGTTACAGCCCCAGGGGGTGAGCAGAGCTGAAGACTCCCTCTACATGGGATTGTTGGGGGTAGGAGAGCAGAGAGTGGCAGGAGCTGACACCCACCCCCATTCCCAGCCCCATCTCTGCAGGACTCCGCCCCGGGCAGTGCTGTGGACTACCCCCTGCGTGACCTGGTACTCCACACCAACTATACTGCCACTGTGCGCGGCCTCCGGGGACCCAACTTCACCTCCCCAGCCAACATCACCTTCACCACAGGTACAGCCTGGGGTATGTGAAATGGGTAAGGAGAAAGGCAAAGGAGCCTGGCAGGCCTCATCCCCATTATCTCTTCCCATCTTCCCCTCCCAGGGTTGAAGGCTCCCCTGGACTTGGAAACCAAGGAAGTGACTCCCCGAACAGCGCTGCTCACTTGGACTGAGCCCCAAGTCCTACCCACAGGCTACCTGCTCAGCTTTGACACCCCTGGTGGACAGACTCAGGTGCCCGCACCCCTACCCTATTGGCTACCTCCTCTCCCTGGATTGATTCGGAGGTGCTGGCTCTGGCTTCCTCAGGAGGTCTCTCCCTCCCCTGACCTATGTCTTGTCTGTCCCACAGGAGATCCTGCTCCCCTCAGGAATCACCTCACACCGGCTCCTTGGCCTCTTCCCTTCTACCTACTATAATGCACGGCTCCAGGCCGTGTGGGGCCAAAGCCTCACACCACCAGTATCCACCTCCTTCACCACTGGTACCCAGAACTGGGGCCCGCACTGGGTGGGCTAAGGTTTGGAAAAAGGACAGGTTTCTCACGCTCCTCTCCACAGGTGGACTGCGGATCCCCTTCCCCAGGGACTGTGGGGAGGAGATGCAGAATGGGCCCAGCACCTCGAGAACCACCACCATCTTTCTCAATGGCAATCGCGAGCGGCCCCTGAATGTGTTTTGTGACATGGAGACCGATGGGGGCGGCTGGCTGGTGGGTGCCAGCTGGTGGCTGCCCTCCTCTTTCACACCCCAGGGATCTGTGTAGGGCAGAGACTGCTGCCCCTGAAGCCAGAGACTAATGCTGTTCCCATCTGCCTCCCAGGTGTTCCAGCGCCGCATGGATGGACAGACAGACTTCTGGAGGGATTGGGAGGATTATGCCCATGGCTTTGGGAACATCTCCAGGGAGTTTTGGCTGGGTCAGTGCCTCAGGGATTGGAGAACTAGGGAGGGGATGAAGGCCCTGTGGACATGTGGTCTCTGATGAAGCACCCACCCCTACCCCCAGGCAATGAGGCCCTGCACAGCCTGACACAGGCTGGTGATTACTCCATGCGTGTGGACCTGCGGGCTGGGGATGAGGCTGTGTTCGCCCAGTATGACTCCTTCCGAGTAGGATCAGCTGCTGAGAACTACCGCCTCCACCTGGAGGGCTACCATGGCACCGCAGGTAAGAGCAGGCCCAGGCCTGGGAGAGGGAGTGGGAAGGAGTGACCTCACCATTCCTTCCCATGCCCTGCCCAGGGGACTCCATGAGCTACCACAGTGGCAGTGTCTTTTCGGCCCGTGATCGAGACCCCAACAACTTGCTCATTTCCTGCGCTGTCTCCTACCGTGGGGCATGGTGGTACAGGAACTGCCACTATGCCAACCTCAATGGGCTCTATGGGAGCACAGTGGACCACCAGGTGAGAGGCTGGGGAGGCAGCAGGGCTGCAGTGATTGGGGCTTGGTTCCTTGGGTGAAGCCCAGGATGTGACAGAGTTGCTCATGCCTCAGGGCCCCATCTGTGAAATGGGATAATAATGTCAACCTTGCTAAGTTATCCCAATAAGATGATTTATTGGGTGAAAAAGGCCAGCTCAGGATTAAACCTCAGTCCTGGGCAGCTGAGGATTGCAATGAAAGGGGGGCAGGGTACTGGGAGAGTGGATAGATCTCTGGAATCACTTCCTAAAGGGGCAGGAGTAGGGACAGATGAGATATCCAGATTTGACTCTTGACAAACTTTCCCAGGGAGTGAGCTGGTACCACTGGAAGGGCTTCGAGTTCTCTGTACCCTTTACGGAAATGAAGCTAAGACCAAGAAGCTATCGGTCCCCTGTAGGGGGAGGCTGAGCTGCTGCCCACCTCTCTCACACCCCAGTATGACTGCCGAGCACTGAGGGGTCACACCCAGAGAAGAGCCAGGGATGCCTCCACCTCCCAGCCACCAGAGGAAGCCTTCTCTGCCTGTGACCTCACAGCATCATGTTTACAGGGGGGAGGGGGAGGGGTTTCTATGGGAGCAATAAAGGAGAAACTGAGGCACCTGGCTGGCACTGATCCTGCCCCATCACTGGCACTGGTCATGCCCTGGGGCCCCCAGGTCCCGGGGCTGCAGCCGCACCTGGAAAGGCTGCATCAGAAGGTTCACACCACTGTAGGGCTGGGGCTGCAGAGAGGGCAGGGCACCCTCAGGCAGCAGCGTGAAGGTCTGGAGCAGGTTGGCCAGTACCATGAAGAGTTCCACACGCGCCAGCGGTTCTCCTAGGCACACGCGTGCCCCACAGCCAAAGGATGTCACTTTGGGGTTCTTGCCAGGCTTCAGGAATCGGTCTGTGAGCAGATGGGTGGATGGGACAGGGAGGTTTTTAGCAGTTATGAGCCTCCTCCACCTCCTCTTCTGCCTCCTCCATTTCCTCCTTCACCTCCATGCCTGGCACCTGGCCCCCCACATACCAGGCCAGAACTCCTGTGGCCGCTCCCAGACCATCTCGTCAAGGTTGGCACCTTGGAGGTTAGGGATGATGACTGTATCCTTAGGGATGTCGTAGCCAAGGATGCTGAGGGAAGGTGGAGTTAGAGGCTGACCAGGACCCTGCTCAGGCCTTCCTCACTCATCCCTAACCCTTGGGACTCACCTGCTGGGCCGGATGGTGCGGTGGGGTAAGGCCAAGGGCACCACAGGCCGAAGGCGTAACACCTCTGAGATGGTGGCATTGAGCAAGGGCAGTCGCATTCGGTCCTTATATAGGACCTGGGAGCTTGAAGCCCCGGGCCCCAGTTGGAGGTCCAGCTCCTTCTGCAGTCGATGCTGAACCTGTGAGGCAAGGGTAAGCCTGGAGACCAGGGACCGAGCTCCACTGCTGCCCATTCACAACTGCCTGACCTCCAGCCACTCCCTCCAGATATCTGGCTGAGCCATTGTGTTCTTTTTGATGAATGTAGCCGCCCCCCCCCCAGGGTGCAGCACTAAGAGAAGAGGGAGCTGGGTTCTTCTGACCCTGGCCAAGCTGACAGGAAGGAACCTTTTGCCCGCCCCTGGCGCACACCTCAGGGTAGTGAAGCAAGAAAGCCACAGCCCAGGAGAGGGTGGTCGCTGTGGTCTCAGTGCCACCAATGAAAAGGTCCACCACGGCCATGTGCACGTGCCCTTCAAGGAGCTGTCCAGAACCACTGTCCTCTCTCGGCCGCCCCAGCTCTTGGAGCATGTAGTCTATCATATCTCTCCACTGGCCCATCACCAAACTCTCCTACAGAAAGTGGGGGAGTGACTGAGTTCCCAGCTCAGGGAGGGATGTGTGGGGGCAGCAGGTCCAAAGGTGGACCCAGCAGTGATGCTGAGGCAATAGCATCACCGGCCTGGGCTGAAGGGAGCCTGGTCCACTCATGTCACTCCCACCTTGTGCTGCCTCAGCTGCTGCTCTACAATTTTGTCCCTTTTTTCCATGATCTTCTTCAGCTTCCAGACCCCTGGGTTGGGGAAGAACTGGGCAAGAGTAGAAGGGGGAGGCAAGAGTGAGCTGCTGAGAAGCAGCTCTAGCCCCCACCTACATGTCTGGACTCCACCTCCTCACCTTGAGGAAAGGAACCAAGTCCAAAATTTGGATGGACCAGTGGTTCCAAGCTTTCATGACATCCTGAACACAATTATAAATGGCATGTCCCAGGGTGTCATCCTGCCAGAAACGAAGGAATACTTTCAGTTTGGGACCAAGGAAGGGTCAGGGAAGGATTGAGGGGGAGGATGGAGGGGAAGGGAGGGCAACCTTTACCTTTTTTCCAAAGGTGAGGCAGCAGATGATGTTACAGGCAAAGAAAGAAAATTCCTTCTGGATGGCCAGGGGGGCACTGGCCTGGACTCTGAGGTGCTGTGGGGGAAGAGCAGGAGCTACACAGGCTGGCAGGGGAGCAAAGGGGCACTATGAGAGAGGGAAGCCTGACCCATGGGAAGGGCTGGGCTGCAGGAGCCCAGCTTCACCTCACAGAACTCCTGAGTCAGCTGCTTCAGCAGGGACTCCATGGATTCACGGACACCCAGTAGCAGGGCTGAGCGGGCAAGTTTCTTATGGGCCTTCCAGAGCAGGGAGTAGTCCCCTAGTGACAGGTCTGGATGGTTGTGAGACACCAGCTTGTCTGCAGTGGGAATCACAGGAGTGGATGGTAAGAACTGACCACAGAAGCCAAGGACCTGAACTTCTCCTGCCTCCCAAGTCCCTTTCTCCCTCAAGAATGCCCCCAGCTCTTACAGGATGGTACCCGGGGTCTGCCAGCGAAGTCTGCCCACTTTCTGACCATGGCTTCCTCGATGGCCCTGGTGGAGTTCAGCACCACGACATCTGGGGGGAGCCCAAGCAGGTGTCAGGAAGGGCAGGACCCCACCTAGCCTCCTATGGGACAAGGAGGGAGTGAACGCTCACCCTGAAGCCCCAAGCGGAGCCTGTAGATGGGCCCGAGTTTCCGAGTGAGGCCGAGCAGATAGATGGGGAGGTTGGGTTGCAGAAAGTGCAGGAAGCCTGGGGCACGAGGAGGGAGGTGGAAGCCCCTGAGTTTCCTCTGGCCCCACAGCAGGCAGCTGCCAGCCAACAGTGTCAGCAGCAACAACAGCCCAAGAAACAGCATGGCTGGAGACCTGTGCGAGGCCCTGTCACAACCACTTATAACTCTTGAGCCCCCGCCTTGTTGCTTGGGTCATTTTGGCAGCCTTCCAGCCCCCACCTTCAGGACCCTTCCCACTGTCCTACCCACAGATGACACATTCCCAGGATGGTGACAGTCTTACAGACCTTGGAGATATCACATTTCAAAGGACATACCATCTATCAAGAAGATAGGAAGGGAAACAAAACCCTGACCTTTTTCATCCAGAATCAGCTTTCCAGTTCCATGTCAGCCATGCAGGTCAATGTGTCCATCCCCAGCCCAGGCCCTCACCCTCCATACCCACCTTGGACAATTTTACTGGTTTAAATTTGTCTCCAAGAGAAAAATAACAGTCCCTGCCTACTGTGTCCCTCCAGGATTGTTTGAAGGACAAAATGAAATGAAAATAGGGTTTTCTTTGTTTTTACTTTTAGATAGGGTGGTCATATGGCCTAGTTTGCCTGGGGCATCCAAATATATACCTGTAGTCCCTGCAAAATTATTAATAGAGCCTCTTCCACTATCAGAAGTGTCAAGGAGGCAAAGAATTATAGGGGTCATCATTTAGAGCACCTAGCATGTAGCAGACTCTGTTCTATGTGCTTTCCCTGTATAAAGCAACCCTTCACAGACATGCTATACATAGAACACTAGTATTGTTCCCATTTTATAGATAACGGACCTAAGATGTGAGGCTGAGTGGCTTCCCCAAAAACCAGAACAATCAGAAAGTGGTAGAGGCAGCATTCAGGCTTGTGATCAGGCTGCATAATCTGTACCTTTAACAGCTAGTGGCATCTCTCTTTGGTCCCAAAGAAAAATAACACACCTAAACTCATGTGTGATAAAAATAAGAATTGTCATACAAATACGGAGATGTTTTGCAGAACCCAACAATAGGAAAGCAAGGAAGGGATCTCTGGCCTTGAAGACCAGGAATAGGAGGCAGAAAAAAAAAATTCCTGTTGGTGGCAGTTGCCTCCTCTGTCACTCCTCCCCTCTCTCCCCTGCTGGCAGAGGAGAGACATGCTTCCAGGCAGGCAGAGAGGGGTTGCTGTTGGTGCCAGGGTCCACAGGTTATAGGGTCAGACCAAGAAGAGTGTGGATTCCCAGCATTACTGAGCATCAATACCAAAGTCCAGGAAGCAGCACAATAGCCAAAACTGACCAGGGGCTACTCCTCTTCTGGAATTGTAGTCTTAAGGGATGGATTTTCACTGGATCAAGTAACTATCAGGGACTACTTTTGTGAGAAGGTAATTGGGGGCTTAGAAAAGAGGGCTGCCTGGGAGGTGAGAGCTTAGGCTTTCCCCCAACTCCCTAGCTCTGCAGATAGCTCCTGGGACCCGGGGGTCCCTCTCCCCTGGGGGTTTATCCAGAGCACAGGCTGTGCTGCTAGAGAGCCCCAGTTGAAATCCCAGCGGTGCCACCTACTATCTTGACCTTCCCTGCTGTTTGGGGTCCTAAAAGAGGCTCAGGCTCAGCCTGGATTCATGCCTTGTCCTGAAGGGAGACTAGAAGGGTGGGACTTCTGAAGTTGGCAGTGACAGCTGCCGTCCTCTTCATGGTCGACCTCCTGGGCCCGAGCTGTGTCTTGTCACAATTGCAGCTACTGGCAAATGAGTTTATGCTGCCATCATGCAGAATGGCTTCGGGAGAGATGAAGTGGCAACAAGAGGGTCACTTAAGCAGAATCCAAGAAAGTGCTGAAGTGCTAAGGAAGGTCAGAACTGCTTGATGTTGCATGGAAGAAGAGGGGGGCTCCATTTGAAAAGAGACTGATGTAGAAAGCTGACACACTGGTGGACATCTCCACCCCAACTCCAACTCCCAAATATGATGAATGACATGCACTCCTTCTCAACCTTCGGAACATAATTTCTGTGTCACCTCTTCTAGGAAGCCTTCCCTGGTCCTCTGGCACTCTCCTTTACTGGATTGGATGCCCCACAGGACCACACTGCTCCCTGACATCACACTTTTCAAAGGATGGGGAGTGTTCATTCTCATTTCTGCTTCCTCCAACAGTGAACTGGCCACAGGCTGCACACTGGTGGGTGCTCTGGCACAGGAGGAACAGATGGCTATATTTCTGGCATCTGGCACAGGGCATGGCATGGAATTAGAGTTCTGTGAATTTCTGTTGAATGATTGAATGGTGGGCTGCTGGACTGTCTCAGCTGGCATCAAAACTGATCTCAGTAAATTCCCCTGGGTAGATTTCTAAGGTCACTGCTTAAGATCCCAAGGGTGCAACCAAAGTGGGAGAAAGCTAGGCAAACAGAGTAGAGTGGGTTGGCCCCAGTAGAATAATCATTTCCTTCAGAGTATTAACAAATACATCATAGTTAGCCTTTGGGCTTGTTTAAAATCAGTGTCCAGATGAAGACATCATCATCGGATTGCACAACTTAAGATACCTAATGCTATTGATAACAGGATCAAGGGTCAACAAGATTTCAACAGACCAGGACTCAGCTAAATTCAACAGACCCCAGGACTGCCAACTGCACAAGGTCAGAGTAGGAACACGGGACTGGACACAGCTCATCTGGCAAGAGGTGATGTGTCAACTGAGCACAAACCCTGCCCAAGGCCCAGGTGACTGATGACATTGGGCGATGGAGCTCCTTGGGAACATCTCGGGGTACACTCTGGTCCTTGAGGAACAGGCTGTTGGGTCACAGTTCTGCTTGAGGTGGTCCCATGATGTACTAAGGCCTAGTGAGTCATCATCAGGGTGGGTTCTGGCAGAGGTGGCCAGTCCAAGGGTCCCCAGGCTCTGAGAGTCCAAGATTATACAAATCTGGCCTTGGCCCCCCAGAACCCAGAATGGCAGCTGCTCTCAATCCTAGAGATACACACTGACACTTTGGCAAAAGGCTTTATTGTGACCCTGTCCCTGGCTGTGTTCAGAGGCCAAGGAGTTGCTGCACTGCCAAGCGTCACCTTTCTCCAGCTCAGGCTCCACCTGGGAAGCAGAGAGGAGAAGCCCTCACACTTGGCACCCCTGGGTGCCATACTCCTGGAGGAAGTCACTGAGCTGGGCACAGGCTGCCCGCTGGCGGGTGCTCCGGCACAGGCGTTCAGAGGGCATTTCTTCAATCCAGCTATTTGAGTCCAGCAGGTATTGGGGGCTGCAGGGAACAAAGGGGCTGTCAGCAGAGGTCAGGAGGATGGGCATGCAGAATAGAGAGCATAAGGCCTTGGCTTCTGAGGGACAGGGATGGGTGCCAGGGAAGTGTTCCCTAAGGAAGGTCATCGATGTGAGGAAAACAAGACAGAAGGGACCAGATAACTCACTCTCCTTTGAGGTCATATGTGGCCCCATCCAGACCCATGATCAAATATTCTTTCTCAGGCTCCAAGCGAAGGCGGCAAGAAGCTCGAACCAGGAAGTTGCGGGTCTGACCAGCAGCAGCCTTGGAATCCTTGGCTGAAGGGATAATATGTGCAAGAGCCATTAGAGAGGTAGGGAAGGCCAAGGGCAGCACAGGGCTCTGCACAGCTATCATTTAACCCTTACTGTGCCTGATAGGCATGTGCTATTACTCCCCACTTATAGGCAAGCCCAGGTTGCTAAGAACGTGTGCTCAGTCTGAACTTTCATGATTCCAGCTGGCCAGACCCCACACCTAAACCTCCCTGCCTCCCCCAGTTGCCCGCCTCTTTGGCTCCCTTCCTACTGAAGTGCAGGACTTGGGTGATCCTGGTTTCAAAGAGGCGGAAAGCAGTTCTGCTATCTTCTCGGAGAACATGAACCTGGAAGCCTAGGCAAGGGTGAGGGGAAGGGAAGGCAGGTTGGTCAGCCGAGGCTGAGAGACCCCAGACAGCAAAGAGGCCACACATGGGCCTGTGAGAGGAACAGAAAATCCAGAGAGACCAAGACAGCTGGTCCCTGAGGGAAAAGACTAACCATATTCCACACGGGGATAGTAGCAGGCAAACTTCATCCTATAACCATCCTCATCCTGCAGCCCCCGCTCCAGGGCGCGACGCTGTCGAGGGCATTTCCCTGAGGTGGAAGGCCCAGATGAGGGGTGCATTTGCCCCATCAGCTCATCTTCCCAGCCCTAGCCCAGACCTTGCCTCTTACCCTCAGCACACTGGCAGACATCAGCAGAACACAACGTGGACAGAAGTTTGCTCTTAGTTGGTGCCCCATAAAACACAGAACATTTGTGCTCTGGAGAAAAACAAAGAGTGGAGTTAAGGCACATGTCCCTCCTCCACACCTCCCCATCTCAGGGAGCCCCCTTCCACCTTTCACTCTGCTGGTTCCTGGCATCCCAAATAAGGGTGCTGACCCAAACCTCCCCAAATGCCACGTGGTCCCCAAGTGCTCACCAGGGCTGTAGTAGTCATATAGGACGGCGCTAGCTGGCTGCACCAGCCCCACGGCCACCTCCTGCACAGCTCCAAAGCCCACACACTCCCGGGAGGTGGGGACCTGGCACCGGGTGGGGAAGGAAGGTCAGGGAATCACTCCCCAGCCTGCAGGCTTCCGGCTGCCTTTACTTGGCCTGTTTATATTCCATTGCTATTGATCTTATCTCTACCATCCTTCACATTCTCTTACCTTCCGGCCACCAGAACTCTAAAAACTGATCCCCAAGGTCTCTGATAAACTTTACTGTACTTATGGTGACCTTGCCCCAGTACTATTTGTCCCAATCCCTCTGCAGTCTTAAATTATGGACACATTCTCTGCAAGACTCCCTAAACTGAGAGTAAGCTTCTGACACTGTCTCTGGTTCCATCTGGAAAATCCTTTTTTCTCTTTTCCTTCCTAGGCCTGAGCCCACCTTCTTCCCTCCTTTGTAATCTTAAGGGTTTCTCTATCCCTGACTCCCAACAAACCTTTCCAGGTTGATGATTCTCAAACTGGACTTTCAGTACCATTCTTGCATTGGGATTGTGGCAGGACTTGTCCTCCAAGGCACTCTAACTGCCCTCAAGCCACACTCCTGACAGCCTTGTCCTCGTTACCAATATAACTAGGGCCTCTGTTATCTGCCATAACCTAAGAAGACTGCCTCTAATTCTGCTGTGGCTCATGTGGGTCTCATTTTTGTCCTGGCTCCCTGCTTACATTCTAGGTTCTCAAGAGCTGCTGACACAGCTGCCCCTGAATCTTCATAACAGATTCAGTAATCCCAGTGCCATCAATTCCCTTCCTGTATCACCCCTCCCCACTCACCGAGTCAAAGTACAGTAAGACATGGGGTCCATCCGTCTCAAAGTGACTCACATAACGGTCAGAGAGGGAGGTCAGCTGTGGAGAAGGGGAGACAGTTTCAGGTCAGTAGTCCTAGGCCTCAAACAAGCCAGGGCTTAGCATCTGGTGGTACTACAGGGATGGAGCAGGGTTCCTGAGGGCAGAGAGGAATGGTCTGGGTAGCTGACCATACCTTCTCTAGGTCAGCCCGCAGAGCATGGAATCCACTCAGAAGAGTAATATCCGCAATGGCCATGCCAGACAGCCCCACCTTGCCATTTCGCCTGTGGAGAAATGTGGCCTGATGCTTAGGTTCCATGTTACTCTGTTCCAGATGCGCAGCCCCAGCTTCTGTCCCACCCCCATTCTCCTGGCCCAGTGGTTGCACCCAACATGGTCTGTGCAGCTCCCAGCACGCACCAGATGCACACAGTATACTGCACTCTGGATTCCTGTTCCTCTGCCACCTTGGGCACCTCCCTCCTACGGCGGTTCCTCCGTCCCTCAAACAGCTGCAGGGGTGTCACAGGCTGGGTATAGGCACCTGGGTCATCACTGGCTGGAAATTCCTCATACTCATAATCTTCATAATCCTCATTTGCTTCCCCTGCACAGGGCAGCATGGTGAGAAATGGCTGGGAAGCCACTCAGCCCTACATCAGCCCCTCAGGGCCCAAGGACTCCCCACTCCAACACTCACTTGTGTAGTCTACATGGCCTATGACTGACACCTCAATCTGAAGGTCCTTGCAGGTTGTGTTCTTCATGTCCAGGACATTGTAGGTACGCAGGACCTGGCTCAGCAAGGGGCAGAGAGAGGACATACGATGCTTGGGGTACAGACCTAAGGGCATCACCTTGGGCTGAGGGGTCTAAAGCCCTAGCCCATCTTAATGGTCCAACCATAAGTGGACACCAGATGGGCTGCTGGGTACGACATGAGACAGAGATGATGATGCAGGGCTGCCCAAGGAGGTCAGCGCTCTAGAAGGCACACAGGAGGCTGGAACGGAAAGCTCAGGAAAGGGTTCTGGCTGAGGCTAGAAGGAGGAGAATGAGCTTGTTCTATGGAACAGGGAGCAGAGGGAGTGCATATATGCAGGGAGAGCTGTGTGGATGTGTGGTCTGGCCAGAAAGGTAGGCAGGGACCCCAGTGTGACATTTTTTCTAGGTGAATCTGACTGGTGTTTTCAGGTCAGTCTCGTTGCTATGTGGACAATGGATCAGAGTGGAGAAATGGGAGGAAGGGCCAAGACCATCTTAACAAGGGCTCTAGGACATAAGTGACAAGGGCTCTAGGACACAAGTGAAAAGGCCCTAGACAGCAGGGGAGCAGAGCAGGAGTTATAGAGTCTATAAGGAGATGCTCTGGGTACTTCTAGATGGCATCTAGAGTGGTGGCTGGGCTCCTGGGCAGAAGGGGATCCCATCACTCAGATAAGGGACATAGGAGAAAGAAGGGGTTTGAGACCTGCTATGTCTGAGGTACTGTGGAATGTGTTGAGCCTCTGGATCAGGAGATAGAACCTTGGCTGGGAACAAGATAAAAAGATAAAGGAAATGACAAATGCCCAGAAAAGGCGGAGACCAGAGCAAAACGGAAAGGCCCAGGATGGAAACAGGGGACACCAACCCTGAGGTGGCTTCTTCTTCCCCCTGACTATAAGTTCAGCCCCTAGGGACCCCTCACAACCAGCTCCTCCCTTTTCTGTGGGCTCTGCCTCTCCCCTGACCGGGGACTTGCACCGTCAGCCTTACCTTCAAGGTTCCCTTGCTGTTTCCTCCCACTTTCACATCAATCTTGTTGCTCAGGGAAAACTTTCAGGAACAAAAAAGAGAAACAGACATCAGAAGGACAGACGGAAATCAGTTTGTTGCTCTAATAATTTACCTCGTCCCTTAAAATATCCCACCTCACATTTCTAAAAGTCTCCACCTTTGTATGTGTTCTCTCACTTGAGCCTCCTAAAACCATGTGGGACAGACTCGGCATATATATGATTTATAGCTGAGAAAAGCAAAGCTCAGAAGTTTGGTGACACAGACAGAAAATCTTCCTAGGAGGACCTCTGGAAGAGGGCCACAGGGATTCCTGAAGGGTGACAGTGGGGATGGCTTCTAGACTGGCCGTTTTCATGGCAACCCAGGCGTGAGTGTGTTCACCTGCAGCTCCTCCTCTATCCCTTTAATTTGGTGGTTGTTCAGCTGAAGCACATAGGATTTGAACCCACTGCGGCCTATGGAACTGAGAGTCACATTAAGTCCCCGCTCCTCAGTGGTGTGGGCAGCGATCCAGTATGCAGACAGGGCATCCAGCGCAATCACCGTGTCCTGAGGAGGTTAGGCCAGGTAGGACTCAGCACTTGGTCTCAGGACTAGCCAGCCCCAGAGCCCATGGCAACTCCTACCTGAGTGCTGCGGAATCCCCCTTGGAAGCTGCCCTGATGGGTGAGCCAGGATGCCACCTGGTTGGCCAGCTCTGCTTTGCCCTCTCGAAGCAGCAGGTGCAACAGGCCATAGGCTGTGGTTTCAATCCACAGGGCTGGGGCCTGGGGCATGGGGTCTGTTGGACTGCGAGGAGCCAGGGTGGGTGACACGACATTGTTCTGAGAACCAGTGACTGAGCCCCAGTACAGGTAATCTGGAAAAGAAGGGAGACCCACAGGCAAATAGGGCAACAGACAGGGAGAGGATCCCAGTTACCTGCCCTCTGACTCCTTTCTGTCAGGCTTTCCTGATTCTATTCCCAAATCCTCCCTGCTTATGCTTTAATTCCTTCTCAGGGTCTCCATTCTCTCTCTTTCTAGATATATCCAGGTATCACAAGGACCATCCTCCCCCCGCAAGCCAACAGAGTCACTGCCAGAACTCCCTTGTCCTTACCACCAGTCTCCTGGGCCATGGCCATAAGGTTGTTGTGGGCAACATCCTGCAGGTTCTGGGAAGCCTTGGACAGAGTTAGGGCATAGGCTGTGATGGCAGCTGCATGGGCACCCAGGAGCCCAGCACTTGCTTTCTCCCCCAAGAATGAGTTTGCCTTTGAGATGGAGGTTTCCTGGAAGAAAGCAAGGAGGAAGGTCTGGACTCCTGGGAGAACTGGGTCTGAATGCCTGGGTTCCAGTGATGGGAAAACCCATAGGTGTCCTTACCACTCTCTGCTTCAATTGCTGTGCACTCTGGTCCTGGAAGATGGCCAGCCCATGCTGAAGGGCAATGACCACGAAAGCAGTAAGAGCCACAGTCTCATCATTTCCCACCAAACCCCCCTAGAGAGGGGAGAAAAGAAGATGTCATTCAGGAGGGAAAGAGGCAGAGACAGTTTTTGCTGGAGGTGCTCCTTGGCCCAGCCTCCCAGCACATCCACACCTGCATGGCCCTGTGGATAACTGGACATGGGTCCTGGAATGAGCCATCTGCCTGTTGCTGGGACAGCAACCAACTGGCTGTCTCCTGCAGTTTTTCAGGTGAGCCGCCCACCTGCTCCTGAGCCAAACTTAGAACCTTCAGCACAAAGGCTGTGAGCCTAGTGGGAAGGAAGGGACAGATGGGGATAGGAGCGTTCCCTCTGGAGACACAGATCCACTTCCCCGGGTATCTGATTATTCAACCTCCAGGGCCCCCTTCCAATCTCACCAGGTGCTGCTGTCCCTGTGTAACCAAGCCCCAAAGGAACCATCTGTCTTCCGAAACTGCTGGATTCGCATGTAGCCTTAGAGAGGAGAGGGGGCTGCTAAGGTGTCACACATTCTTCCACTGTTTGTGCCCGAGGCCATGCTTCCCCCTGCTTCCCCTCTCTAGCCTTCTGGGCTGCCCATCTTCCATTACTTGCCCTCCCAACCCCTAGTCCTGCTTGACCCTGCACCCAGAACCTTTCTGGATCAGATCCACGGCACGATCCTTGGTCTCAGGGGGCAGTTTGCTCCATTGTTCTGTCTTGTCCAGATAGTGGGAGGCTGCCAGTGTGGGAGCCAAGTAGATCATGGTTTGTTCAGCACAGCCATAGGGAAGCCTCAGGAGGGCGGCCAGGCCCCCTGGGGATAAGGCCCCCCCAGAGCCAAGGGTCTCCAATGGATCCGAGGCTACGAAGAGAGAGAGGGTTGAGGATGAGAGTGGGTCTTAGGGTCAAAACAGGGATCCACAGGCTTCACATGTGGACCCATTAGGAAGGGACTGAAGGTCACCCCCACCTGTAACTCTCACGATGCTGCTGAAATCTCCATCAGGGATAATATTTGGATCAGAGTTGCCAGGAATTTCCAAGCTCCGGCCTCGGTGGTCTGGGAAGATGGGAGAAGTTAGCAGTCGGTCCTTCTATCCACATCCCTATCACCCCACAATCTCCTTAGGAAACTGATGACTGGGGTAGGGGTCACTCACCCAGGGGGTTGAGTTCATAGACAATCTCCTCCCTGTGGATGGCCCCTTCCTTCTGTCTCGGAGAAACATGGCTGTGAGACATCAGATAGGTCTATAGCCTTCCCCCTCCCCCACTGCAAACTCCCCTGGGACTGTTCCAACTTCAGGGAGTGTTAGGTCACAACAATAGAAGATGTAAGTGGAACAAGACATTGGTTTTGGGTATAAGAACACTGGTCTGGACAGCAGAGGATGAACTGAGGATGGGGGATAAATCTGGGAGTCCAGGGACTTGGATTCAGGGGTTGCTCCATTCACCTCAATTTGCAGAACCTTGGACACTGCATCCCCTACAGGGAATTCAAAGGATCCTCGAGCCACCACCTTCAGGGACATAGCAGCAGCTGCCATGGGCACCATAGAGAAGGCAACGGGCCGGGCAGAGCCTGCAGGCACTAGCACCTGCTGGGCCAGCCCTCCACCCCCAGCCAGGCACAGCCCCTCCACTGGGGACACATGGACGCTCACCTGGGGGCAACAAAATGGGGATGGCCAGAGCCCCAGACCAGTTAGGGTTTCCATCCCCACCTGTCCCTGGTTCCCCCACCCACCCCCATGTGCTCAGGCTCCCAAGGGGCCTCACAGTCAAGTTTTTATCCAGGTAGTTATAGAGGACAGGCCGCAGCTCAAGTTGCTCAAAGCGGCGGACAGAGACGGGCAGGCGGAGGTGCAGGTGGAACTCGCGGAACACTCGGAGATGGACTGGTTTAGCCACACACAAACCTGATGGATGGGGAATTTGGGCATGGGGAGCAGAGGTCAGTGGAGAGCAGGGTATGACCTAGCTCTGCCATTAGCCTGCCCCTTCTCTCAGGATCAACCCAGGTGCATGCTAATAGAGACTTCCCCAGATCCCTGGAACCCCTTCTTCTACTGAGAGCAAAGGGTTAAGCAGGGTGCCTGGGTCAAAGAGAAATGGGAGAAAGGCAGCCTGAGGCCCAGGCAGGGCAACCTTACCTGTGCTTTTGGACAAGCTCACGCCATGGATCTCCCACGTGGTCAGAGAGTCAGGGAGCCACAATGACAATCTAGCAGGAGAGGTGGAGAAGCCCTGTCACACCCAGGGCTGGTCCTAGACCTAACCCAGAGAAAAAGCAAGGTCCCCCAGGTCCTCACATTTTGGAACGGTCCACTGTCTCCACTCTCCAGAGCCAGTTCTCTGGGAAGAAGCTGCGCACCACAATATCATCTTCATGCATCAGTTCCTCTTCCTGCAGGACCTCCAGGGCTGGGGGCCATGGGGGATGGGAGTGAGGAGGGACCCTTCTGCCCTTCCAGGCACCACTGCCTGTCCCCCACCCCACCTAGCCCCTCACCTCGGGCGAGGCCCACCTGGCCCCTTGTCCTGTTCTTCTTGCGCAGGCTCTCAGCAAACTGGCAGCAGGACAGGAAGGGCTCCCGGCAGGCCAGCTGCAACACACGAGCTACTCGCTGCTCACAGGAGCGTGCCATGGGTAGCCGTGTCAGCCCATCCTGACAGCAGCGCTTGGCTTCAGGTGAAGAATACTGGCCCACTGCAGGCCAGGTGAGGGTAAGAGCAAGGGACCAAAACAGACACGCCTCAGCCCCCATCCCAACCCCTAGACCCACAAGGACTTGCCTCGAGAACATAAATGTGGGGAGACAGCCACCAACCCAGTTACTTCAACCCCACAACTTGGTTTCTTGGTCCCACATACCACCTACTGGCTCACTGAGGAGTAAAAGGGCAAAGAGATCCCTACCCTGATCCAGAAACAAGTGGACAGCTTAAGTTGCTTCATGGGTGCCCCCAACTCACACTTCTCACTAAATGCCTTTTGGAAGTTCACATTTCTCTTTTTCCGGATTTTATTCTCCTTGGGACAGCTCAGACCTGGTAGAGAGCAAGTCTACAGTCAAGTCCTGCCTCTCCTCTCCTCCCCTTCCCCTGCCCATCCCTCCTGCCCCTCTTCTTCCTTGACCCCACAGGCCCTTCCTCCTTCCTCATCTTCCCCTCACCCACTCTCTTTCCACCACTGTTCTCACTCTTTCTAACGGACGTCAACTTCTCTCCATCAGAAAAGGCCAGACCCGCTGCCTGGAACACCTGAAGGGCACTGTCCCCACCTCCAGCACCACACCCAAGGTCATAGCTATTCATAACTTCAAAGACCTGGTAAGAAAAAGCAGGAAACTGGAGGCGAGAGTGTCTGGGGGGCAAGATCAGCCACTCGGCTATGAGCAAGAGGGCAGGACATGGACAAATATGAAAGAGATATAGAGCGGGAAAATAGAGAGCAGGGGCCAAGAGGAGAAATGGACAAGGTCCAAGACCTGGGAGAAGAATGGGAAGGGTCTGTTAGGAGCTCAAGTGTGATCTAGGAACTGAGCTCAGTACTTGGGCTCAGGGAAGCAGGGGAAAGAGCCATAGGGGGCAAAAAGACAGGGGAGAGGGCTCAACAAACCTTGCTCATGTCCAAGGGCTTGTAGGACCTGCCACCCACAGCATACAGAGCTGTGTCCACAGCTCCCAGGGCCACCAGGGCTTGAGAATCTGTTTGCAGATGCAGCTTTACATTCTCCCCATTACGATAGTCCTTGGCGCCATCCAGGTTCAGTTCCAGCTGGCAGAGATGGGCGGTGGGGGCAGTCAGAGTAGGGAGAGCTTCTTTCAATCCCATACAACCTCACTGTACCCAAACTAAATCCATGCCCTTCTAGCAATCACCCTGTCTTCCTTTCTTAATCCCATTAACACACAACACCTCTTCCAACCCCAGTCACCTTGCCCTCGCAGGCCTCAGCCTGGACATCCACTCGCAGGGAGTTGGCCACTGGGAGGCCTCGATGATAATAGAAGGCCACGAAGTAGAAGGAGGGTGCCAGGCGATGGTCCACAAACACAGAGACCGAGGTCAGGGCCCTCCTGTCTTCTCGATTCACAGACACGATCTCTCCCCGGGATAGGATCTGGGTCACGAAGAAGAGGACAAGAGTGGTTTCCTCTTCATTGAACATCCCCACCCTTGAAGCTGCACCCAACCTGTCCAGGGTGCTGTTCCCTGCACCCTGCCCTCCTCTACTCCCCAGCTATGCACACCATGTAGTAGTAATGAGAGAAGGTGTCCCCACTGATGCCCATGGCTTGCAGGTTCAAGTTGAGAGTGTCCCCTACACGAGGGGGTTGAGGATCCAGCCGCTCAATAGACAGAAAGCCAGAACCTCCTGAAGGTGGGGCTCGCACAGTGAGCCTGGCTGTGGCTGGATAGAGGGAGCCTGCAGACACCTGGAGAGAGGGACAGGTCAGGACAGGGTCAATGGCAAGAACCCATGTACCCCACTCCTCTCAAGTTGGGCAGTGGACACTTCCTTTCCTCCCCCACTGTCCCCAAGGGACAGGGGAGCCCTACCAAGAGCTGCAGTTCTGTGATAGTCTTCGGGACAACGATGGGAATGCTGACGTGGCCAGTCCCATCTGTGTTTTGTTGAAAATCTTGAATTTTAGAAACTGACTCAGAAGACAAAGTGGCAGAAACTTTTACAGGAATGCCAGAAGCTGGGGAGCCTGACATTTCACGGACCAGGGCCTACGTGGGGGTGAAAGGGGCTGGTAAAAGGGAGTGGTCAGCAAGACACAGGACCCTCCTGACCAACACTCACTCCCAGCCAATCCTCCCTCCCCAGGAGCAACCTGCAGTAGGAAGGGRGCCCCAGGTACAAGGTGTCGCTTGGTCTTGCTAAGATCCAAGGAGAAGGCAGATGACACAAAACGCCAGGATGTAAGCTCTGCCTCCTCCAACTCCCCTCCTGCAAGACAAATGGCAGTGAGAATGTGGAGGACAGAGCTCTGGGAAAGAGGAATGGGAAGGTGAGGGGACAGCTTGAGCATGCCCCCTAAGACAATGAGCTCCTTAGCACCCAGGCTGAACAGTATTCATCTCCATTTGCTGAGGCCCAACAAAGGACCTGCACACAGAGGTGCGCTGGATGAGTGAGCTGATGAACAAATGAGCAAAACAATAAATAAATAAACCAAGATGGGGAAAGGGGCAGACCCATGCAAAGACAAAGTTGGAAAAAGACAGGTCTTCTGGGTCTTTCCTGTCTTTAGGCCTGATATGAGGTAGCAGAAGTCCGGGGTGGTGCAGGTGCTAGAGAACACGATCAGTGTTATAATTCGGATCTTGAATGTCCCTCAAAGGTCCATATGGAAAAGGACTGGTCCCCAGTGTGGCAATAGTGGGAGGTGGTGGGACCTTAATAAGGTGAGGCCTAGTAGGAAGACTTCAGGTTATTGGGGGCACACCCTCAAAGGTGATAGTGGGACCCAGGACCCTTACTCTTCCTTTCTTTTGCTTCCCAGCCATGAATAGAGCAGTTTTGCTTCAACATACACTCCTACCAGGAGGCGCTGCCTCACCACAAGCCCAAAGTAAAGGGGCCAACTGATCATGACCTGGAATCTCCAAAACCATGAGCCAAAACAAATCTGTATTTATAAGCTGACTCTCTCAGGTAGTGGTTAGGATGATGGGATGATGATTAATACAGTCAGCTCAGAGGTCAGAGACAAGGGGCTAGATTTTACTGGGGAGTCACCTACCTGGAGACTCAATGATGGCTGTTGCAACATACAGACGTAGTCCTTGGAGGTCAGCAATACCAATATTAAGCTTCTCCAGGGTACCCTGGACCTTATCCTTTGAGAGGGAAATATGACTCTGGCCTTCCACCAACTAGGGCATGGAGTAAAAAAACAGGACATGGGGTAAGACTGGAGTTCTCCACTTCTCTGCTCCCCACCTCTCCCCACCTCTTTCCTACCTTGTTCTGAGTCTCCAGCCCCCGGAGGAAAGTCTTCTTACCATCCTCATCCTGGAGGGCAAAGCGCACATATGCTACCCCCTGCACTGGCTTCCCATAGATGTACCTATTACCAAAGGGAGAAGAGGAAGAAGGTAGGCTGAGGCCTGGTAGAAATAATAATCTGGGAAGGAAGGAAGCGGGGCTCTATACCCTGTTCATTCTACATGGGAACAGGACCCGGCAGGAGCAGGGGCTGTTACCTGGCCTGGATATCTAATTCAATTTCGCCAAGATGGCCAGGTGCAGTCAGGATGTAGGGCTTTCCAGGGGTGATCTTCACCTCAAAATTGGGAAGGACTGACCCAGAACAAAGGGGTAAGCAGGTCATACCCTAGTGAAAGTACCCTTCTAAGACCCCCTCCCCTCTGGTCTGTAGTGCCCATACCTCCCTGGTCCTGCCCTGTCCCACCATCTCTCCTTCTACCCCTTTTTTCCTTCTTGAAAGAAGCTACCTGTCCTTCATATCTCCGGCACTCACCATATTTCTTCACCTCAAACAGGGTGCTTCTGTTGGATTCCAGACTGTCTGAGAATCGGGCTGAGATCTTCCAGGTCCCTGGTCTGAGGATGGACAAGGAAGGGACTCAACTCACTTATGCAGGAGAACCACAGAGAGCCAGCAGCCTGGTTCCCTAGGAGTAGGTCTAAGGGGATAAACCAGAGGCTCAGGAGGCCCAGGGCCAGGGCATTTGGGATGTGACCATGTTGAAGGTGGACAGCCCAAAAGGAAATGGGAATTGGAGTGGTGTAGACGGGGATAACTCCCAGGTGGGGGTAGCTCACTCTGAGATGTCTGGAATCGTGAAGTCATCCTGGAAGATGGGTGAAGGAACGCGGACCTCCTTCTTGAGCACACGGAGGCCAAAAGAATTCTACAAGGGGAATAGAAGTGGTCTCATGTGGGAAGTCACATCGGCAGCCAGGGTCTGAAGGCCAGTCAGGGGACTCACCTCAACCATGATCGTGAGGGTGTCAGTGGATGGGCGCATCTTTTGATCCAGTGACAAGACCCGGTACCGAACTGGGAATGCAGAATGAGAGATGAGCAGGAGTCTGTGTGCAAAGGGAGGGTAGGCCCAAAGGGAGGGAAAGGCCCAATGGCGCTTTCTTTCAGGTTACCTCACATTAAGGGGAACCAAACATGTCCTGAGTGGGTTGGGAGGGAGTTAAAGTAGAGGGCCTGAGGCCTGTGCTTACCCCGTTGGCCAGGGTTGTAAATGGGCTGGTCAGTCTGCAAAAAAAGGTGTCCCCGACGAGAGGAGAAGAGCAGGTTAACACCCTGAATATCTGTTGTTCTAGACAGGGAGTCCTTCAGCCATGATGACTGGGCCACTAGCTGGACCTCAGGGCTTCTACGTAGTTCAAAGAGGCCACAACTCTTTGCATTATTCAGGGGGATCTGTCAGAAGAAGGAGAAGGAGCAGGTCAGAGACAGACACAGAGAAAAATATCAGAGAGAACAACACAGCAACAGGAAGGAGACCACTGAGGTGGGAAGAGAGGAAGGAAAGCCAGTGAAGAAGCCAGTCATTGGCAAGATTATAGAGGGGAACATTGGGGAGGCCCCCAGAAACAGCAGTAGAGGATGGGAGCCAGTTACCTGGAGACTGAGGAGCACAAAGTCTTTTTCTGAGCTGAGGGTAAAGTCCTCCTTTGGGGAGCAGCGGTGATTATTTCGGCTTGGATTTCTCAGGAAAAGTGATCCTTTCACTACCTGTCCCCGGGGGGCATCCTGGAGCTGCACCCCCACTGACAGGGGGACCCCCAGATGAACCACAGAAGGCGAGAACAGAAGCAACCTGAGGAGAGGGGTGTCACAGACTTGATCCTGACCCTTCCACACCAGCTCTCCCTCACTCCGGAATTGGGTTCTATCACCAGCCGTGCCTCCACCCAAGCACCCAGCATATTGATTGCCTTTAGTACCTAGGCTTCTGCAGAGACAAGACAAAGAAGCTGGACGCCCAGATCAGCCCCCAGAGGAGCCTCATGGCTGGAGAATCCAAGAGGAGTCAGGTCTGCCTGTCTGTCTGTTCCCTTCTGGTCAACTTAGGGTTCAGGGCAGAGTTGACTCTGGATGTTGCTCCTCCCTTACCCCAGCTAAGCCGGGAAACCACGTGACAGTCAAGAAATGCAACTGGCCCCAGGCCCAGGTGTTGGGGGTTGGGGACTGGGGGCAGCCAGGACACCAGGGTCTGAGGAAATCTGGAGAAATCTTGGACTAGAGATGGATCTTGCCTTCCCTATTAACCCTCCTCATCCTGGTGCCTGGGCACTGCCCTCTAACTGGGTATACCTGTGTGTGTACACATGTAATTGTGCTCACGTTTCATGAGCCTGCGAGGGCCCAATGTGGCCTAGATGTACACACSTAACAAAACAAGGATAGGCTTCTAAGACCCTTGCCTCTTACTTTTACCCTGACACAAACTGAACCTCTACAGCCTTTCACATTCTGTAGGCCCTAACAGAAAGCCTGTGGTTTAAGAGATGGGGTGCAACCTCACCACCCTACAGGGAGAACTGGCCTGAATACCAGAGTTAACCCTTGTTCTCTCTGAGCAATGGAGAAAACCTCAGAACTAAGGTTGGCTTTACCTATCTCTACCCCAAAATAAGACACCCAATCACGTCACACAAAATAAAGGACATCCAGAAAATATCAGAAAGCAGAGTATTTTATTTAGCAGTTTCAATCCAACACATAGGGCACAAAACCCCTCTTTCCCCAGCCTCCCCAGCAATCCCACCTTCCTGTCCCAACATAGAACAATAGCACCTTCTTTCCTGATAGGCAATGGCCATGGTGGCCTTGGCACAGTTTCTGGCTCCAGATTCGTGGAAGGGCAGATAAATATTGCCTAGAGCCTACCACAAGAAAGAACCCAAGCTTGAACCTCAGCAACATACACGGCAGCATTCCTGGCTTCCAGGCCTTCCCAAGGTGACCCTGGATCAGTCATTGTTGGGCAGGATCCCCAGGACCCTCACCCCACTCTGGGAGATGTGCAATGACAAGCAGAATCCTCACGTTTCTGGCAGGCGAAGGATGGTTCCAGAAGTGGTGGAGACACTATACAAGAGAAAGATAAGACTAAAGCCAACAGTGTAGGCCCAAGGTATGAGAAGAACTCAACTTGGTAAGGGGTGTTCCTGGGTCCCAGAGAAAATGGAGAGAAATTGGGCTTCAATAGTGAATTAAGCTTGTGTTGGGAAGAAATCCAACCTTGGGTCATTGCTCTTTCATCTCCCAGGCCAGGGGCAAGACTCACCAGTCGACCAGCTGGGCTCCAATGAGGTCATGTACATGGTAGGCAAGGCCAAGTCGCACTGTGGCAGGTGCCCGCCGACCCAAGAGCTCCGACAGGAGAAGCTCCCGGTACTTGGCCTTCCGGACCATGCCAAGGACTGCCTGGCGTCCTGGAGAAGAGGTGGTACAGGAAAGAGAAAAGGTGAATAAAGCCTAGAGGCCTGAGGAGCCACCAAAGGATGTTCTTGAGAGGTTGAGGGCTTGGTTGCAGACAAGTTACCTTTAACAAAGTACTTGATGAATCTCCCAGCTCCAGGTACAGCTAGCCACCAGCTCCCAGCATCACGGACAGTGAAGACTCCGGCCTTTACCAGGTGCCTACAGCAGGGGGAAGTCAGAAGAGACATGGCCTGGACTCTGAGAACCATATGTCCTCCCCATCTGTTTATGTTTGGGCACCAAGTTTCCAGAAACATGGGGAATCATGCAACAGGGACCAGATAAGAAAACCCAACCTGGCGCAGGTGTCTGCTTGGACCATGCATGCTATTTAAGGTTTTTGTGCCCTTGCTTAATCAACTGTCCATACTGAACTGCCTTCTGCCCATTCTTTTCCTGTTATTTAATACCATTCTCTATCCTCTTAGATCCAGCATGAATAAAATCAGACAGCTATAGTTTCTGCCAACCCCCTCATGTATTTGTCAAGTCACTCAGCTCTCCTGAATTCTGGTCTGGAGTTCTTTCGAAAGCCCCAAGTTAAGATAGGCCTCCTCTCTTGAAAGAAAGAGCACAAACTTAGATCATTTTATTACATAAAAGAGTCAGCCTTTTTTGGCAGGTTTACTAGGAAGAAAAAGATATGTTGGATGGGACTGGAAGAAGGCAGGGAGGTACCAGATGCTTGACTGTTGGTCCTACAAATCTCACGTGATCTCTGGATCCCTGAAGCCAAAGGTCTGTGTCATTTGTTCCTGCTGAAAACTAAGGTCCCCACAGGCTGGAAGCACGGAGGCCAGAAATTTCTGTACTGCCCCAGCGTACGGTCGGCCATCACAAGCCTTGAGGACCTAGAACCAAAGGCGAGAGACATGGGCTAGTCCTACCCTCCACCCATCTCCATTCCCAGGACAGCATTTCTCTTCCTGATTTCCCTCTTACTCAAGATCTTCCTCCACTCCTCTTCCTTCCCCTCCTCCTCCTCTCCTTCTTTATTCCCTCTCCCTCATTTTACCACTTACCAGATCCCTAAGCCTCTTGATGGGACATGGGATAAGGGAAATCATTTTTTCATTCCTCAATTTCCTTACCCTCCCCTGCTCATGACACAAACATACACAGCTACACATACTCTGGTCCTGTAGTCTTCAGTGAAGACAATTCCATGGGCATCCAAGTCAAAGCCCAGCTGGATGATTCTGATTTCTCCCTGCTCTTGAAGTTCCTTCTGTTTCCACAGAGATAGAAATGAAAAAAAGGATTTCAGGGTAAGATGTTGTTATACTCTGGGCACAATGGGGCAGGGAGTCTTTGTTTGCCAGAATTGGGGAATTTTAATGTGTGGGGATATAATCAGGTGGTACACCAAGCAGCCTTTTTCAACTAGTTACCCACCTTCCCAGTCACCTGTCTTATCACTTGTCTGTGAAAAAATATATATTTTCGAAGACCAGTTCTATGCCAAGCAGTGAGATAAAACAGTGATTAAGACACAGGCCCTTCCCTCAAGAAATCCACAGTCTAGATATCAGATGGCAGAAGGTGGGGAGAAGTATTGGATAAAATGTTTAAAACAAGTAAAAATAGCCAGGTGCAGTGGTACATGCCTGTAGTCCCAGCTCCTCCAGAGGCTGAGTCAGAAGGAACACAAGTTTGAGGCCAGCTTGGGTAACTTAGCAAGACCCTTTCTCAAAATTTTAAAATAGGGTTGGGGTTGTGGCTAAGGTAGAGCACTTGCCTAGCACGATGAGGCACTGGGTTCAATCCTCAGCACCACATTAAAAAAAAATTAATAAATAAAAAAGCTATTAAAAAAATTAAAAAGAGCTGGACAGGGGATACAGCACAGTGGTAGAGTTTTTCTGAATTCAATTCCCAGTATTAAAGATAATAACAACAACAAAATAAAAAAAAACTAGAATTCCTGTCTATAGGAATATAGTAAGAACGAAACAACTACTCGGAAATTAACTAAAATACTAAATATTATTTTAAAATTGTTTAAACACTAAAGAGATCAAAAGATAACAAAAATTACCAGACCTAATATAATATTTAAGCAGAAACAAGAACTCACAGTGAGAGTGGGACATGGAGAGCATTTGCTAATCTAAATCAAATCTGTCCAACACATGGCCAAAAATAACTGGGCCCACAGGAAACAAAAAAAAGAAACAAATGAAACATACCAAGACTTTTATAGCGGAATTATCAAAAAGACAATCTTTTATAATGGCTATCAAAATACAGTTAGGTAAACAGAATAACTGTTCTATAGCATGGTAGGATAACTATAATATAGAAAACAATTTTATAAAGAACTAGAAAAGAAGAACTGGAAAGTTTTCAACACAAAATTATAAATGAAGAAGAAAATGATCATTATCTAATATGATGATTACACACTGTATACATGGATCAAATAAGTCATATTGTATCCTATCAATGCATACAACTACTCTATGTAAAAATAAGACTATCCACTTTTATTTATTTGTTTGTTTATTTACTTATTTACTTTTGTGTTGGTATTAGGGATTGAACTCGGGTTACTTTACCACAGTCATTTGTCATTTTTTATTTTGAGATAGGGTCTTGTTTAGTGGCTGAAGCTGGCCTCAAATTGGCACCTGGGTTCAATCCCTAGGAGTGAAACAAGGGGGGGGGGATGGAAATTAAGCCAGTTATTTATGAATACGTACACAGGTGATATAAAGAACACCAAGGTAACAATTATAGCAGTTTGAATGGTGGTCAACTCCCAACTCCCAAGGATGTAAAGAATTTTGGTCAGAGAAAGATATGTACAATATTGGCCATGTTTTATAGTTTGACCTAGGTGGTGGCAAGGTATTTCTTTATAAACATTCTGTAAATTCTCTGTGTACATTTATATTTTCTTTTGTGTAATTTTTAAAACTCTTTCAAAATATAAAAGATGTAAGCTAACACAAATAAATTAAAAACAACAATACTTTGTGTGTGTGTGTGTGTGTGTGGTACTAGGGATTGAACCCAGGGGCATTCTACCACTGATTTACATTCCTAGTCCTTTTGATTTTTTATTTTAAGACAAGGTCTTCTTAAGTTGCCAAGGCTGTCCTCAAACTTGCAATTCTCCTGCCTCAGCCTCCCGAGTCACCACTACATCTGGCTAAAAATCACAAATACTTTTTAAAGAATTAGTTCCATCTGACCTGCTTTCTCATCAGACTGTACAAGTCTCCATTCTCCTTTTCTTCTTTCCTTTTGTGACTAGCTAACTCCAATGGAGAGATTTCAGCTTTTATTTTACTGGACCTCTTCAGAGAAAATTCTTTGAGTTCCAGGTTTTAACACCACCAACTACTCCAACCTCCTTGAATACCTCTTTTTTTTTAAAGAGAGAGGGAGAGAGAGAGAGAATTTCAATATTTATTCTTTAGTTATCGGCGGACACAACATCCTTGTTTTGTATGTGGTGCCGGGGGCACTCATGCCAGGCCAGCGCGCTACCGCTTGAGCCACATCCCCAGCCCCATTGAATACCTCTTTACTTTCACATTAGACCTCTTCCTGGGTTTTTCTTAACTGGCAATTCCTTCTCAGCCTCTTTCACAGATTTCTCTTCCTCTATTTTTCTCTTACATTAGTAGGTCTCAATTTTTAAGGCAAATTAAGAATCACCTGAAGCAGTAATTTAAAATTGTAGATTCCTACATCCCTTCATCCCACTCCTACAAGATATCTTAATTCATTAACCTTGGGTAAATCCCAGAACCTCTAATTTCTGAATTAGCAGCCCAGAATCGTCTGGGTAGAAATAAGGCCATATAGTATTACATTGAGTAACATTGCCCTAAATAATGGTGTTGCCAGCATTGTGGATATGGCCCTAGTATCTTACACTCTAAACCTGGGGTCTTTAACCTTGGATCTCAGAGGAACTGTGAAACACTCCCCCACAAATCATACATAATACTGTGTGTGCATGTGTGTGTCTGTTGTAGAGGCATTTTTCTGGCAAGAAATAGCTACTGCTTTCACCACCTTCCAAACATTGTAAAAAATCACTCCCTTTTCCTACTGGATCTCACTCACATCCATGTTCTGAACCCACTATCCATACCTCTATGACTTTTAATTCTATTATTACTGGCTCCAAATTCTCTCCAACAACTTTGGATGATCCACAAACACTCCAACTCAACTTGTACAAAATTAAATGCATCATATGCTCTCCAAAGCTCAATGTGCTCCTCCTGTATTCACTCCGCCAACCATCTGGAACACCTGGGAATTACCATGAATTCCTCCCTCTTCATCACTCTCCACAAAGCCTCACTCACACTCCCCCTACCTTCCACACTTCCCTAGGTTAGGCCTTCCCCAGTTCTCAGATGCAATAGCTTTCTAGGCATGGCACTACCTCCAATACACCCAATACGCCATTCTCTCTCCTGTTTAACATGCTCTACTAGCTCAACGCCTTCATTATAAGACTGAAATAGCACCACTAAACAGACCAAGCCTGTTGTGATCTGATGTATGCCTGCATTCCTAGAGATGGACGCTCGTACTATGAATGCCCCACGACTGCTTCCCTAAAAGTTTCACTTTTCTGTCTTCTTGATTTGGCCTAATGCTTGCTGGATGGCTGGTGAACCGACTGAGGATCTGTCTGACGCTGGCCTTCGCGAGTGCCCACAAGGCAGGGAAGGGGCCTCCGGTGGTGGCCCTGACGCCCCTCACCAGTTGCCGGTCGGCCACGGTCCGGTCCGGCAAGAGGCTGTACACTTGGCTTCTCAGCACGATAGGAGGCAGCGCATCCTCGAACAGACCTCTCGGAAACAGCTGCACTAGCTTCTCGACCGCCGCGCGCGCAGACCCTGATTGGGGAGACAGGGACATTGAGACAGAATTAAGTGGGGCTGAGGGACAACTATAGGGGTGCAGGTCTCCCCCAAACACCTGGCTAGTGGAAGTGAGGTCCCTCCCAATTAGGTCTACAGCCCCGCCCCGGGGCTGCCACGCCTACCTGATTCACCCCTCAAAGGATCCGCTTCTACAGGCCCTCGCTCCCGCCGCTTCTTCAATGCAAAAGTCTCCGGGGCCAAGCGGTGTCTCTTCCGGCTCATATCCCCGGACTTTAAGGTACCAGGGAAGCGGCAGAAATTGAGGGAAGAGCTTGTGGAAACAGGGTCTTCCGGCGCAGAGTAGTGACGTAGACCTTTCTGGGAGTCTATGGAGATCTTATCCCCAAGGTTTAAACAACGTGATGACGTAAGGGTCCCACTTGTCTTGCCCTTTGCTAGGAGAGGCGGATACCAGCACCACTTCCGCGGGGCAGCTGCCCTATGCCTGCCGCTGATTGGCTCTGGCCGAGAGCGCTCATGTCCCGGAACAGTTAGATGGCTCTAAGCCTCACCGGTGGCCACGTTGGGCTCAATTTCCTGGTGTAAATCTCACTGCTACCCACACCCGCTCCACCCCCTCCAGAGGATTTGTCTGGCACCGCAGTGGGATCGTTGCATCATTGGAAGCAAAGAAAAAAATAAAACAATTTTGCATTGCTCTTCTTCTGATATGCCCCCCTGACGTCATAGCCTTGCGGAAGACAAGGTTGGGGACTCTAAGGTAACCAGATATTTCATCTGAGTCCAGATTCCTTCCTGACCTCACTGCATTTAAAGAACCTGGGGGATAGGGCAAAGAAAAAGGTGGGCTGGCTTTGAGGGGCTGGGGCCTGCAAGTTTCAAGGCCAAAATCTGGTAGTCTGGAAGCTCACTTTGTCCTGACCCACTCTTTTTCCCTCTTAGGACTTTATGGAGCCCAGAGGGACCAAGAGAAGAACAGAAAAGTTAGAGATAACTGAACCTCGGAACAAACTTGCCTATTCCACATCCTCACTACCCACAGAGCCTGCACTCTACTCTGGACCCTTTCCTTTCTACCGGCGCCCTTCTGAACTAGGCTGCTTCTCTCTGGATGCACAACGCCAATACCATGGAGATGCCCGAGCCCTCCGCTACTACAGCCCACCCCCCACCAATGGTCCAGGCCCTGAATTTGACCTGAGAGATGGATACCCTGATCGATATCTGCCCCGGGATGAGGAGGTCCGAGAGGGGCTGGACCACTTGCTACGCTGGCTCCTGGAACACCGAGGCCAGCTGGAGGGGTGAGATAACCAAGAGTAGATCTGGAGACTTAAATGTACCTTCTAAAGTTAGGAAGGCAAAAGCTGGAACAGGAATCAGTCTTTAGATTCTTGGGGAAATGAGCTGAGCTAATGCTGCGTCAGACCTTTGGTCTCTTAACTCTTCCCTCTCAGAGGTCCAGGCTGGCTGGCAGGGGCCATAGTGACATGGCGGGGACACTTGACAAAGTTGCTGACAACACCATATGAGCGGCAGGAAGGCTGGCAGTTGGCAGCCTCCAGGTTCCAGGGGACACTGTACCTGAGTGAAGTGGAGACCCCAGCTGCTCGAGCTCAGAGGCTTGCTCGGCCACCCCTTCTCCGAGAGCTTATGTACATGGGGTACAAGTTTGAGCAGTATATGTGTGCAGGTGAGAGTTGCCCCTACTCAGTGGCCCCTTTCCCCTTCCCCAGAGATTGAGATGCCCCCACCCCTGCTGCTGCTTCTCTCCTTGTGCAGACAAACCGGGAGGCTCCCCAGACCCCTCTGGGGAGGTTAACACCAACGTCGCCTTCTGCTCTGTGCTACGCGGCCGCCTGGGAAACCACCCTCTGCTCTTTTCCGGGGAGGTAGACTGCACAGACCCCCAGGCCCCATCTACACAGCCCCCCACCTGTTATGTGGAGCTCAAGACCTCCAAGGAGATGTACAGCCCTGGACAGTGGAGGAGCTTCTACAGGTTCAGGATGGGGTGGGCAGAGCAAGGACTGGGAAGGGGACTGGGGAGGATAAGGCCTAAAGGGAGGAACAGAGGGTGGAGAGGGTCCCACTGACCCCTTGCCTTTCCTGTCAGACACAAGCTTCTGAAATGGTGGGCTCAGTCATTCCTCCCAGGAGTCCCAAAAGTTGTTGCTGGCTTCCGTAACCCAGAGGGTTTCGTCTGTTCTCTCAAGACATTTCCTACCATGGAGATGTTTGAACATGTCAGGGTAAGACAATGACATCACAGTTCCCACTTATATTTGCCTACCCCATGCACCAAGACCACGGGTCCAACATCCAGGGCTGCAGTCTGCCTTCCCCTTCTTCCAACCCATCCTCACCACTAGTCTTCTGCCTCCTCCTCCTTTGTCCACTCCAGAATGACCGTGATGGCTGGAATCCCTCTGTGTGCATGAACTTCTGTGCTGCCTTCCTTAGCTTTGCCCAGAGCACAGTTGTCCAGGATGACTCCAGGTGAGGCATTCAGCTCTGTGCACCCCCTCTGGATCCCAGGAGCTCAGTCTCTGACCCTCAACTCACTCTCCCGTCTGCCCCCAGGCTTGTCCACCTCTTCTCCTGGGAGCCTGGTGGCCCAGTCACAGTGTCTGTACATCGGGATGCACCCTATGCCTTCCTGCCTATGTGGTATGTGGAAGCTATGACACAGGACCTCCCATCAGTTCCCAAGACACCCTCCCCGACAGAGTAAGACTTCAAGGGGCCAATTCATCTGCAGAAATAATAAAGGTTTTCTAAGTGGCTCTCCCTGCTGTGTCTTCTGAGCTGAGTCATCCTGCCCAACACCCCAAGCACATGTGGTGGTTTGCTATTTTATTATTCCACTTCCACCCAGGAGTCATTCACTGGGTGTAAAGGCTAGCTGCAAAGACAATGTCCCTTCGTAACAGGGTAGCTGCTGTCTCCATCTTGGCTCCCAGCACAGGCTCCCCTACCAGGCGGGCTGCCCCTCGAAGTGAGCGACACATCTCAGCCAGGCGCTGGATGCAGCGGACCACCAGGCCTTCAGGGGTCCCCGAGAGCCCTGCCAACTCAGAGAAGGGCTGTGGGGAAAACAGAGTGAAGATTGAAGATGCCAGACCCAGACAGCTTCTGACCGGCCAGCCAGCCACAAAACCCCAAACCCCAGGTACTCACCATGCCCCGGGCCCACTCATACACAACCTCAACAAGTCCAAAATTCAGCTCCCCCACAAATTCCTCCACTGTCTGGTTCAGACCACAGGCCACTTGGACCTCACCAATCCGCTTTGCCACGGCTCGGACGCGTTCTACTCCCTGTAGAAGGGAAAGAAGAAGTCAAGGCCTGTCTTCCTGCTCTAGGCCCGGGGAGGCCCAAGTGAAGGAAGAGGCCATGTGCATTTTTAGAGGCACTTGTGGTCACCTGGGGAAACCAGATCAGGGGTTGGGAATGCCACAGTCCAGGGAGAGTGGTAGTATCCCTTACCTGCTTGAGGGTGCTTGGAAGCTGATCCCCAGGGTCCCCGGGACTCTGGCAGACCAGGCCAGAAAGCAGGGCTGCGATCTCCTCAGGCCGCAGGGCGCTCAGTGCATTGTCAAACATGAGCTCAGTGAGGAGCAATTCATGGCTGCTCATGGCACAAGCCACCCGCCCTGCCAACTTCACAGTGCCTGCCTGGTCCACGTAACCCAGCGTTCGGAGTACCTACAAGAAAGAGGGTTAGTGATGGGGAGTCTGCCACTTTCTCCCACATTAGCCTCCTAACCCCATCCCCACCGCTCCTACCTCTACTCGCTGGTGATACTCAGGGAGCAGCAGCAGTGACTGATCTGACAGTAGGAAGCGCAGCCGCTCCATCTCCTTCTGAATCTGCATTCGTTCCCTCAGCTTCAAATACTGCAGAGAGTCACAGGCAAGAGCCCTCAGTCCTCTCCCACTCAGCAGAGGTGTTAAGGAAAAGTCCCCCCTTCACTTGAGAGCTACCTGGGCAGAAAAACGGGGGCTGTGTACACACTGGGCTCCCCGAATTAGCTCTTCCAGCTTCCGGGCCCGGAGCCCCCCCTCTACCACTGACACATCCTTGAGCTGTAGGTCATTAACAGGGTCAAGGGTGGGAGGTCCTGCTGGGTAGGCTTGAGCCAGACGAAGCAATTCCTGGACAGCAGTGGTCACAGCTGCAAGGGGAGGATCCTTCCTAAAGAGGGAGCATGTTTTTGAGATCTGGGCAAGAGACTTCTTTGCCATAGGAACCTCTTTAGGCTAGATAAGGGGATCCCCCTCAGGCTGAGGGGATCTCTCAAATATACTCCCCTAGCTGGTAATTCATGTCCTCTGGGGAAAAGGATCCCCCCAGCATCTCTGACCTGAATTTTGGTTGCTGCCTCTTGCTGAAGTCCTCCAAGATCTTCTCACCATTCACCCGGAGCACCTTGGTGGTGATGGCAGCCACATCTCCTGGCTGAAGCTTGGCCACAGTATGATCACAGGGCCCTGTGAAAAAGGAAAAGTAGGTCAGTCCTTGCCATAGAGCCAGGCATCCAGCTCACATTCCAGTCAGGAAGCCAGACATCTGCCTCACTCACCTTCAGGCAGGAACAGCTTAAAGCCTACTAGGTCATCTGGGTGGGGCACATCTGGAGTGGCTGGATCCTTGTCCTGTGGATCCTCAGACACAAGCTTATCACACAAGACCAGGGTTGTGAAAATTCTGCTGGTGGAGTTTGAGGAGACCTGAGGGAGGCAGAAAGCCCAGGACAGTGGAATATAAGGAATAGACATCAAAAGTAGAAACCAGAAGCCCACCCTTGGGCTGGGATCAGGGAACAACCACGCAGAGCCTACCAATATGGAGAGGTAACCAACCACCCAGCATATTTCTTTGTGTGGGAAGGTGGACATGAGGTATTGGTGGGAAGGAAAAGGGGGGAAATGAAAGCATTGTGGTGGCAGCAACCTGCCCCCCAGCCAAGCAGGGAAGAGGGAGCTAGAGTTTGTTTCCTCATTCCTTCCCACCTTCTTAGTTCCCAACCCATCCTCACCTGCAGGATCACACCCAGTGCATTGTGATGCTCCTGATTCTTCACAACCACCACTCTTCCTGCCGAGAGAGATTTCAGCCCATTCACCGACTCTATGATGCGTTGCTGAAAAAGAGGGAAATGCACAAGGGGATATAGTAGAAGGTGTCACTGGGACTAAGTTTGGGAGTACCCAGGGTGACCCAATCTCTTACTCCCTCACCCCATCATCTCCCCACTGGCACACATTTACCTGGATCATGTTCCGGGTCTCTGTCAGTTCCTCCCCCCAGCTGTAATACTCTGGTAGGTCTACCAATTGACCAGTCATATCAGGCTCCTCCAAGGCACCCAGCCTCTTGGTTAGTTCAGCCAGTGCCTGTTCATGGGCCTGGGTGGCAAAGGGGATGTTGTGAAGCAAGCCCCTCAGGCCCATCTTGCCACACCCCCCACCTTCGCCCAACTGGTCTGTATAACAACCTCTTCTCAACCTGGTCTTGTCCACCTTCCTGTCCAGTATACTGGTCACCCCAGCCTCCTCACCTTGCTGTCTTTACGGGATGGAAACTCAGAGAAGCTCCTCTTCATCATGTCCTCCACCCTGAGGGCATCTACCCGAAGCAGGTTGAGAATCATAGTGTAAGTGAGGCGGAACTGGGACTGCAGCTGGGATGGCTTCCCCTGGAGCCAAGCCAGAGAGGTCAATGAGATCAGGTGGGGACCTGCCACTCCCTGGCCAGTCCTATGGGGATCTGTATCCACTCAGATCTGGTCCTAGCTCTGTAACCATGGATCTTAGACAAACCACCTGTTCACCTCTTCTGTAACAGGGGGAAAGAACAAAATGAAATACAGACTCTCAAAGGCCCTGTCTAGCTCAGTATTCACAGCAGGAATAAACTAGAATGGATGGAATCCAATCTCTTCCTTAGATTTTCTCAGTCTCATCTTGGGTTCTTCCAGGCAAAATAAAAAACTCCAACAAATATTCTGCCCATTTCTTCTCTAAAAAGAGGTAACTACATAAGCAAAATGAGGAAAATGCTAGTACCTGTCCTATAGAATTGCCTGGAGAGTCAAATGAGATCTTGTTAAGAAATGACCTGGGACTGTGCCCTGGCTACAAAGTGAGGTAGGCTTTTTAGGGAGGAAACAGGCAAAAGGTTGGAAAAAGGAATTCAGCAGATCCCTGCCTGTCTTGGCCTCACACCACCCCTGCTCACCATCATCATGCGGTGCAGATCTGCCATCTCAGGCACACGACCCTTACAGAGAAGGATGACAGTGCCTGTGGGGTCCAAGCCCCTCCGGCCTGCCCGGCCAGCCATCTGTACATACTCCCCAGGTAGCAGGTCCCGGAAAGTGGAGCCATCATGCTTACGCATGGAGTCAAACACCACTGTACGTGCTGGCATGTTTACACCCATGGCAAAGGTCTCTGTGGCAAACAAGACCTGGAAGAGCAGAGAAGAGCAAGGATCAACAAAGGTGCTCAGCAAAAGTCACACCCACCTCACTTTGTAGCCAAGGCATAGTCCCAGGTCATTTCTTACAGGATCTCATTTAACTCTCCAGGCAACTCTTTAGGACAGATACTATCATTGTCTTTATTTTGCTTATGTATTTACCTATTTTTTTCCTTTTGCACACGTATCCCACTGCAATGATTCCAATGTGTTTAACAAGTATCTTGGTGAATATGTTATTTCAGACCATGACTTGTTTTGTGCACTTGTAATTTTTAAAAAATATTTATTTATTTTTAGTGCTGAGGACCAAACCCAGGGCCTTATGCATGCTAGGCATTCATTGGCTTAAATAGTGCCAGGGTAAAAAATATAATGCCAGGTGAATTCTAAACTGGTATAAGTGGTACAACAACTCCTAGTCTCCCATGTCTCTGGCCATACTTGGCTAATATTAGCCAGGTTCCTAAATTTTACATTTAATAGCTATAAAGTCATATCTTCTAAGCATTTCAATTTATGTTTCTCTGATTACTAGTAACTTTTTCCCTTTCCTTTTCCTTTTTTTCAGCACTGGGGATGCAACCCAGGGTGGCATGGATGCTAGGCAACTGCTCTACTACTGAGCCACATCCCCAGCTCTAGTGACTTTTCATATGGTCCCTAGTTTTTTGGGTTTCTCTTCTGATGATCATTTGTTTGAGCATCCTGTGCATCCCCATTTTAAGATGGGAAACCTAAGACTCTCAAAGGCCCTGTTTAGAGGTTTGGAGGTTAAGAAATTTGTCCAAGATTACACAGGGAGGATATGGTGAGGCTGAGATTCAAACCCAGGTGGTCTGGACCCAGAGCCCAGGTTCTGCACTGTCTTGCCTAAACTTCTATACTTCTGTCCTGGGGACTGCCCACAAGGTGATGCCTAGTACCGTGGAAGTTCCTCTTCCCCCATCATGTGTACCTTGACCAGGCCACGGCTGAAGAGCATCTCCACAATCTCCTTGAGAATGGGCAAGATGCCACTGTGGTGTACACCCAGGCCACGGTGCAGGAGTTCAGACATGTGCAGGACCTGTGAGGGTGGGGAAGTGGCCCATAGTCAGAGATGGGTCTCTGAACACCTTATTTCACCAATTTCCATATAGATGCACCTGAGGCAGTTGGCGGTCAGAGCCCCTGAGACGAGCAAGGCAACGCTGCAGAAAGAGGTGAATCTCACTCTTCTCTGAACTCGTGGTAAGGTCAAGTGAGGTGAGGCCTGAGGCTTGCTCATCACAGCGACCCCGGGAGAAGGTAA